AATAATCCTCATTTAGGTAGCGAAATAATAAACTCAGAAATTATTATTGCTCATCAAAAGAAGTGGCAGTATCTAAATGATTCTAAGATGCTTAGCAAGGGTTATTAAAAGATCATCCTGCAGTAGAAAAATTACCACTGACATCGCAAAACTGAAACAACTTCGTGGAAGAATATGCAAGCTGCTGGCTGTCCTGGATTTACCTGACTACAACCACATTAAACTTTTACTGCAGTACTCTTTGGAATGCAGAAAAATCACGCTAGGATTACATTGGTTATCGCATATTGCAGAAATTCATGGTGCCCATTGCAGTAGAGCTGCAAATTGTCATTATCCTTGCCATTTGTCTGTATTTTTCAAATAATTTCAGATGCTCAAGAAAAAATGATCAATTTAGAAACATGAAACATAACATAATGCATAAAAATGTTATTACATGTGTATAATAGCAGCAGTATAGATATTGTAGATATTCATTTCATGAGATGCAAAAAAGAAAATTATAAAAATAGTATTGTAAAACAATTTGTTGATGTAAGCACTCTTTAGTAAGTCATAATTTATTTTGCCCTTTTTATATTTACACTACTAGGACCAATATCTACTTGCACCATTTTGTGAATACATTTTCTGCTAATTAGTAATTTAGATTACTGTCCATTGTCATCGTCTGTATATTTAGGCGTCTTTGCATGTGTGAATGTATTTTAGTCATCTGCTTAACAGGATTTGCTGCCCTGGCTATACACAAGCTTGACAAGAACCACAAATACAATCCTTGCCAGTTAGACCGACTAGAACTGCAGAAAAACAAACAAACACAAGTGCTGTAAGATTACCAGACTTACACATATGGGACTGAAAAAAGGACTAAAATCCTATCCACTGTGCTGGTAACCACTCTATTTAGCTTTCAGTTAGCATTTTGTTAAAGCCTCAACCTCCTGCCCTGGACTAATTTCCCCTCGGATGCTCAGTTCCTTTTGGACATCAGCCAGCTGCGGTGTCTCACAGCACCTCTGACACACTTTTCTGGACAGCCATGTATTACACTTTTTTGACACTATATTTTTCTCTGTTTACTGCAATGAATTAAAAACGGGGTAATTTGCCCTCTGAATATTATAAGCTATATGGCTTTACTGAGTAAGTACTTTCATGCTGTTTGCTGTCATAACACTGAAATGTGTCGAGACAAACCCACACAGGCCAACACTGTCCAACTATACATTGTTTTACATTCAATACATACACCTAGATTCCACATAAACACACACCAGATTTACAGAAATTTGAAAAAAAAAGAAAAGCAAAAAAGCTTAGCTTTGTTTCAGAGGTTCTTAATTAATAAAGACTTGTTCTCTCTTCCTTTACTATTAATCTAGAAATGTAATAACAATAATAAGTAAAAATACTTTACACTTCTTGAACATGTAGAATCGTAGCGGTCCATGTCACATGTGGCCCTCCTGTTGGCCCGGTTGGTGTCAGTTGTTCTACTGGAAAAGCAATCCAGAGCTCTACAGATTCAGTCCAATGCTTTAAGAAAGCCAAAAGGACACTTAACCTATGGGTCTCATGGAGCAGGGTGACCTTTGACACAGTCCTACATTGCTGTGGTGGTCCTTTTGCAGGTGCATATCCTTGGGTTCAACGGACCTGCTGCTGCTCGGGAGATTCTCTCCTTCCCTTCTGCTTTCATGCCTTTCCCAGTGATTCATTTGTCAACCTTGTCCTCTCCCTCAAAGTTACATCATAGTGTTAGCTGGACAGTGGCACAGATGGACAGATCAATGAAATGATGTAGCATGTCATTTTCTGGCAAAAGTAAATGAAAAGGTCCACAAAAGCCATATATGTAATGAAGTCATGTGCTCACACACAGAGACTGACTCAGTTTTTTCTTTGTTGTCTCTATGTTTTTCCCCTTACTTCCTCTTTGTCCATCCTGAAATAGCTCCACCTTTGCAAAGTCTATTAGGAGACTTAGGTAAGCCTCTTAGGAATGACTCCTGCTCTCTTGGACCATATGAGATAGTAACACTGAGACAGACAGAACAACAATTGCACACTGATAACACACGCACACACGCACACACACACACACACACACACACACACACACACACACACACATATATATATTTATATATATATATATATATATATATATGTATGTGTGTGTGTTGTGTGCTACAGCATAGCACACAACATGAACTCTGTTTTTTAGTCAGGACAAAAATAAGCTGGAAAGTATCAACGAGAGGTGTGTGCCTTGTTGTTGAATCCATATCGGTGGATGCTACATTTACTGTGTGAAGTTTTACTCTGTGTAATGTTTGTTCTTGATGAACTGGAAAAGCATACAGATTAATTGAGAGAGGATGTACAAACACACTCTGCAACAGTAAATCCCAGTATCTTGACCTCTGGGAACACCCTCTACCTTTTTAATCCTTTACCTTAATCAGGTAAACCCGATTAGTCTTCTGAATGTGAGATGAAATTCCTGCTGTCTGACTGTGGACGTGCCAAGAATCCTCAGAAGGGTTTACTAGTAAGAGTAATTGGTTAGTGAAGTATGTTGACCAAGCCAGTATTTTCAATGTCACTTAGATGGACCTGGTTTAACCTGGTTATATAACTACAGTAGGTTACTGTACACATGATAGATACATCTAAATTGGTTTTCCAATACGCCAAGAATTTAGTCATCTGCTCCTTGATGGGCTACACATATTTTCAATACAGAATATATTTTATGTCCAAACATGTTGAGCTGTATTTTAGCAACCTTACCAAGGAACACCATGAGGGAACAGTGATACAAACTGTGCATACTACACTGCCAAATACATGTCCATTTATCTGTTTGTTTAGTTGATGATTAAAAAAACATAAATGGTTTGTAATGCTTGGTCCTGATTCGCTGACTATTCTATTTCAAATAGGTTGTTTTGTATCTTAAACAGCTAAAACCAGATTTGCATTTAACTGAATTGGTATATCTCACAGTTTTCATTGTTCTTCAGATGAGTTCTTATTTGGAGCAGCTCAAAGATAAGCCCTCAAAGCAGCAGAGTCAGAGAATGAGATGTATATAAACAATTGCTGCTGTTATTTCTTTCATTTAGATCAGATTTGTATTAATTCATATGGTTCATATGTCTTGTTCTGTTTTCAGGGAGTATATGTCTACAGAATCTTCAGTGTCTTGAAACAAGTACTTATCATTTTTTTCCCATTGTATAAACTTATTGTTAGTACTGACTGGACTATAAAAAGCCTTTCTTTCATCATTTCTCTTCCCATTGCCAAATGCTTAACTATTCTTTTTGATGAAGATTCACTTCTTCCATAACTTGGCCCTCATACTGTAGTATCACTTCCATTTTTTTTGTTTTTGTATGCTGTGAACTAAAATCTTTTACAATACTGTCAATCAATAATGAATATTGCCATACTCTCAAGTGCTGAAATAAAAGAGCTATTTATTGCTGAAGCTTGACATAAATGCAACATGTTTGTTTTTCATTTGTGAGCATATATTTGACATATTTTACACCACTATCCAGCCTTTTGCCTGTGTACGCCCTATCAACCCAGTTTGCTGGCTCTCTGGGAGTCACATGTTGTCAGACCGACAGCTGAGCAACAGTTCGGCACTCTCATTAGAAATGATCCAGGGGAGCACTGTGCGTTTCTATAAAATGCTGCATGATAGCCACTTCCCCAAGCCACCTGTAAAATTACCAAACTGACTACAAGAGAAATGTCCCCATATCTTGACAAAATGAGTCATGTAAGAGAATACATGCAAAAATAATTGAAGTGTATAGACAGATGCATTAATTATGTTAATTCTATTCTACTTAGATGATGTCTCACCTTAGTAGTGAGGATACAGATGCAGTCCATTCTCACCAGTCCACCCGGCCAACTTTCAACAAAACATCTTCCAACTGCACCATCTCTACTCCATCACTCAGCTGCTTGTTGATGTTGGTCGCATCCTTTTTCTGTTTGCCTTTCTCTCCACCTCTTTCTTCATCTCTCAGTCTCTCTCTGCTCTGTTTTTCAAGCCATCTCCACCTGTCCTTTCAACAGAGCATTCAGAGTAGACTTCTCTGCTAAAATAGAGGCCGACTCGGAAACATGGCAGCCATCCCAGCGCAACTCCACCCGCTCTCTTGTTTCCCAGCAGCTGTCTTCATTTTTATGGCTGCTGGTTGCCACATTTTGACCTCAAAGAAAGCATGGCTCTGAATATAAGTACCTCTGCGAATGTACGCGCAACACGCTCAGCACATGAAAAACAGGGAGCATCTAGAGAGTCCAAACACTCACAGGCAGACATGGATACACAAACATAAACACACACACACACACACACTGAAATTCATACACTACACGCACGCAACACTCTTCGCTGCTTTATCAGGTCAGGTCTCTGGCAGGAGTGGGGGGTTAGACTGAGTGAGCAGCAACAGCGGTATAGCAATGGATGCTCTACTTTTAACTTTGTGAATATCAGTGATTTAGACCTTGTGGTGTGCTTGAAACCTCAAACGGCAAGAAGATTTTACTTAATTAGGCTAGTTCAAAACACACAACATCACAGCAGCTAGTGCTGAATTTACAATATTACAGCAAAATGTGTGTCAGTATGCAATTGAGGAGATCAGAGTTGTCCTGTTTTTGTTAGCAAAATCACCATCTTGTGTAATTTGTTGGAATTGGTAATAAGGGTTGCTTCCATTGAGCTATACTATTTTAATTTATAAAAAACTGGTGCAGCAACTGGATATATACTTATTCGCATTTAAGGAGGTTATAATGAGTTTGAAAATAATCAGCAATGTACTACACAGTTGCAAGAAAAAGTTCTGTTTCATGTAATTATTGCATTGCTTGTCAATGACAATTAATTACTTACCAACAAGCACACAGAATTATATAACAGGAAGGATAAGAGTTTCCAGATGCACATATAGCAATCAGTAGAGAACAAGCAGTGTTCTGTATCCAGTGCAAGCTTGTAGTGAAATGGTCTGAATATTAAAAAAAAAAAAAAATCCACTTTTCAAGGGATTAGAGGATTAACATATATAAACTATCTAACCACATTATTCAGATTTGAAACCAAACTATACCAGCTCAACCAGAAATAATACTGTTTTTATATGATATATTGAAATATAAGCCAACTTTCATAAATAACATGTCATTTTGTCATCTTCAGCCACAAGCTGTTCTAAAAAATTATATAACATGTCCAATTACTTTTTAAATTAGAAAACACAGAAACCCAAACCTCAATTTGAGCAATGTTAAGGTATATTAAAATGAAAAACTTAAAAGAATTTTAAGTGACTTAATAATGTGTAACAAAGATTTGTCTGTATATGAAAATGTGGGAGCACACTCGAAGCTGCAAGAACATAGACACACACAACAGTAACAAAAAGATGTTGTTGCCAAATTAAGTCTGATCTTCTGAGCTCCATCACTGATAAGAATATGAAAACAAATCTTTCTTAGTCCAGCTCTACTGAACTATTATGCTGATATAAGTGGATTTAATTTCAACAACAGTGATAACAATAATTTATCTTGTAAACAATTTCCATTGAGTTTCCCAACAATGCAGGTTAACTGCATACCTACTCACAGTCTGACACACAAAACATCCAATTTCCATAACAATGTGAAGAAAAGTCTCATACGAATACATATCTTTCCTAACTGACCCGATAAACATGAACAACTTGTTCTTCGCTTTCAACATGATACCTTACATTCCCTACACTCCTTAGGCGAGGATATATCTGTATCTCACTCTGCAGGCACAAGCAGTGATATTTCTTGCTGGTATCCTCCAGTGCGAACAAAAAAAACCAACAAGAGATGTCTTACCTTGTTGGGGGTCAGTGGACTTGTAGCTGGCCTGGAGTGGGCTGGGCCATGGCTGGGGCTAGTGTAGGTGACTTCTACTGGCCCAGGGCTGGATGGTCTGGGAACAGAAAAGAGGGAGAGAGTGTGTCCGAAGGTGAACTCTGAAAACTGTCAGTTATTATTTTGTCCAATACCTGAACTTCAACATAAGTAGAGTTTATTTTTTCACATCTAAATTCTACTCTAAAAGAGTGCTAGCTAAAAAATATTGCATACATATTATGATTACTATTCATAAATTTCCCTAATTGAAGCAGCTACTGATGTTGCATGACATTATTATTAAAGGTAGTTAAGAGGGAAAAAAATATTTTGACATACTTCTGATTAGTTTTTTTGTACAGCTTTCCAGGTGGGCTTGTGGGGGGTTGGTCATCAAATGTAAGCCTCCCACGGATGGGACTTACTGGATTTTTGCTGGGAGTGACTTTGGCCAATTCTGGGTCCTTGTTGGTTTCAAGAGGACTAGAAACTTTAGGGGTTTGGCTGAGACCTGGGCTTGTGCTGGGAGGGGTGGTAGTGGGGGTGTCTTTGGCTGGAGAGGTTTGAGACACAATGCCTTGAATGGTGCTAGAGACAAGGGCAGAGACAGTCACCAGGTTGGGGTTCGGAGGTGTGGTGCTCTCTGAAGACAACCCAAGGCCAGTGTCAGTAACCTGTGACTTGGAACCATTCATTGACAAAACAGGAGATGTGTTGTTTGGGCTGGTGGGGCTTTCTTTTTTGTTCCCAAAAAAGTTAGAGGAAGCGGCAGCAGAGGTTGATGATATTTTAGGACTCTTTGCCTCTGAAGATTTAGATGCTCCATTTTGGACAGGAGGAAGAGGAGCACGGTACTTGACTTTTGCTGGTTGCACCGGAGATATTCCCGATGGAGAGGTTTTTGTTGCCGATGGAACAGGGGGGGCAGGGGACTTGATTGATCTAGGTTTAGAGGCTAATGGTTTGGGTTGGGATGGCTCCCCAGAAACCTGTGGGCTCGGGGCACCAGGGGAGGGCTGCTGCTGGGCAGTGGGTTCTGCTGGCAGGTCGAGTGCGGCAGGGAGTTTTCCAGGACTGTCCAGCTGGTCCAGAGAACAATTGCTGTCTGCCAAAATGGTTAACTCATAATACTCCTGGATATCTGCAGAAATGAAAACCACAATGAATGAAGGATTAATAACACTAGCACAACTCCAACGGTAATAGTAATGAATTTTAGAGGCATTTATGGCCATGTTTCAGGACACTTCTACAAGATAAAAAGAATCACATTTTAAAATATATCAATGAAAATGATACTTGAATAAAAATACCAAATACAACAGCAATGAACTATGAAAGTGAAATCATCCCAGTCCAGGGATTAAAGGGCCTGGCTGAAAGGGTGAGTTTTCGGTTGGGATTTGAAGGAAGTGACAGAATCTAAATGTTTAATGTCTTGTGGTAGAGAATTCAAGAGGTGGGGGACCAAGCAGCGAAAGGCTTTCTGCCGAGGATGGACACTTGATAGGACAGTGTGTGAGTTTGATGGAGGAACACTTTGTTACTCTGAACCACACCAAAAATATATTCTGCCCTGATGTGAAAATTAAGGTGTCAAGTATCAAACCAAATACAACCATGGACTAACATTGGCAGCTCAAATTATTTTCAGAATCTGTTGTATATATTTTTCAGAAGCCTTCTGCCTTGCAGCAGCAACTTCATTGACCTCTTCAATTCTGCATCATTTGTAGTATTCTACTTCTCACCCTGAAAGCCATAAAAAATCTAGTCACTCTGTATCTTCCTGAGCCCGCTAGCTGTCATGAACAGGTGCAGGTATGAGATGTTACATAGATGGAAGTAAGCTTTAAGCACTATTTATATGGGGTAGGGCTGAGATTAAATGGTGCTTGACAATTGCTTGTTTAGTGAAAGAAGATATTATATCTCATTGGGATAGATAAAATAATCCATGGCATTCACTGGGATTGAGTAGTTGATCAATAAAACTGTAACTGAAAAAAGAGAAGACTATTCTTCTTTTCTGAGTCAAGTGTGAGCTTTACCTCATAAGCAAGAACTAACACACTGAGGACATCTAGTGTCAGTGCACTAGCCGCTGCAATTTCCCTGGTGACCACTTAAAAAAGGAACTCATAATTCCACTTTCATTTCCATTTTAAAGCGAACCAACAACTGCTGTAGTCAAATGTTTCACTTTGCATACAAATCAGATAGGAAATTGTGTAGTACACCACACGTTATGATGACAATGGCTTTACAAATTCAAGTTACTAACTCATGTGGGTTTGGAAGTAATAGCTGAGATAAAGAGGAGGAAGAAAAAGATGTTTTGAAGTATTTTTTAGATATTATGCAGAAGGTTTAAGTGCAGAGCTGGATTCAATTTTAAAAACATAATGATGAAATAGTTATTAAAAACACTCAAACAACAAACAACACAAAAATGCTGATACACCAGAATCACATACACAAAACAGAGAAATAGGTATTTCTATACTAAGTGAAGGAGTGGATTCCAAAAGCAGGTGAGACAAGGACCCAACTTGTTTGTTGTCTACATACATACCACCAACGTTTTTTTTCTCTCCATTCACTGAGCAGTTTTAACCAAGAGAGCATACTTTGCTTTTGTCTTAGGTCTTCTGAGGCATTTCTACATAGCTGCATGATCTCCACATAAGTTTACCTCTCTACACCTACAGCTATGCACTCTGATGTCCATTTTGGGGTTACCAGTCGCGTGATTGCCAAACTTAAAGTTGCCAAAATTAAAGAAACACATCATTTCCACCGTCAAATAGAGTTTTTAAAAAAGCATGCTTGGTCAAAAAATTGAAAAAAAGTTTGTTTTTCTGATTATGTTAAGCCAAACCTTTAATCAAGTATAACTTAACTGATTCAAATATCTGGTGCTCACCAATACTACAAGAAGCCATTATTCTTCTTTTTTCTTATATATCATATCACATAAATCCAGCAACAGGTTCATTTTCTATAAAAGCTTATCAAAGCAAATGTTCTTACCAAGAAGAGCATTGAAGAGCTGACTCTGGAAGACGTTGATGACCCTGTCCAGAGACTGCTGCAGCTGCCGGTCCTCTTCCACTGGAGCCTGTTTGCTCTGACTTTGGTTCTGCTGTCTCTGGTCCAGTTTGACTCGATACTGCTGGAGCAGCTCCAAAGCTCGCTGAGCATCTTGACATGACAAACATACACAGAACATATGTTAAAAATACTTTTCACAAAAATGCTTAAAGTACTTTTGGACATTATGAACTGAGCATTAACCGCTTTAATTTAACTGAGAATTACTATATGGTTTGAAATCTTGCACAGTGTTCTCCAAAGGGTGGTTAACTTTGACAGATTGATAGCACCTAGCTCAATATAACCACTGCAGAAACAAAGTTCTATCACTCTGTCAATAACAGTGTGACATCTCTTCGCAAGTACCATGACAATTTTCCTTTTTATTTCCAGTTCATAACCTGCCAGTCTCCATGTTTGTTTTTTTTGCAGATTTAGCCCAAACTAAAGCATCTAACATACATTTAGGTGTGGCCTATGAATAAATAAAGAACATGTTAATAGTTATTTTAACATATTCATAGTTTTTAATTATTTATTTGTAAGGAAACAATATGCCAACTTGATGGGACTGCATTTATGGATTGAACACATCGTTATGTTACTCTGATGCCTTTTCAGTGGTGAAAAATGGTCAAGCTCGAATTTGAGCTCAACAGACCTTAAGTTTAGTCACCTTTAAACTATAAATTTACGATCCCTCCATTTCACACGTGGTGCTTCAGAACGCTTCAGTCAACTTTAGTAAAGTCTGACCGTTTCTTTTCTTTTTTTCATTTCTTTTTCGCGTGTGAAGGAAAGAGGGTGCTTCGCTGCTTTACAACCGAGCAGGAAAAAAGCACGCCCTGCGTTTCATAAGTCGTTTTAATTTCTCAGCTCATTAAAAAAAAAAAACTCATTGAAGCCAAACCCAACCGCTCAGAACCTCAAACTGCGGCTGTTTAGAACAAGTTTGCGGAAAGTGACGGAGCACTTCCGAGCTGCATAGCCACATCACGAAACCCTCCGGAGCGGTGGAAACGGACCCGTCCGAGTGGCACTTCTTCAACAAAAACGGCATAATGGAGGCGACACGATATGTGAAAGGAAAACACGGAGAAGGAAAGTGTTTTTATTTACCTTTCTGTCGCACAGGCATGCTGACACGCAGTCCTGCCAACGCTTGTGCAGCCAGTGACAGTGTGTGTGTCTCTCTGTGTGTGTGTGTGTGTTATTACAGATGTGTGCCTCTGTCCCGCGACAGCCTGCCTCCAATGTGGGACACCGGACAGCCACCACAACGGCCGACGAAACGCTGCCCCGAAGTTAAAAGAAAATCTTAGCGAAGTTGTGGTGAGTCAGAAAAAAAAAAAAGCCGAAGAAAAACTGTCAGCTGCGAGTGGACTTCGAACCCGGAGGTGTGCTGGTACCTACTGCTTTTCTCTCCCCCCCCTCCCTTGTCTTTCACCAAAAAGGGCTGCCTCTGCGTGTGTCCGGTCAAACTAGTTCTGCATTTCTTCATTCAGGTGACTTGGCGTGGTCCAACCGGTTAGGCGCTCCTGTGTGATGGGCCCAAACACAGAGGTGCACTCCCTGAAAAGCCCCGTCACAGCTCGGTCTGACTGAGAGGCTCCTCATAAGGAGCTTGTGTCCTGCAGGTATTGTCATGTTAAACAGCTGCATTGTATGCAGTGGATGAAAGCCCCGTCTATTCTAGGGTGTGCACTGAATCCTCACCTAATCCACTCAGAGTTGAGGAGAGATTTGGGTTCGCTGATAGTGATCAAACTGCTGCATTGAATATAGGGAAAAGCCCTTCTCCTGTTCTCACACTGTTCTCACACTGTTTTTTGGCTCTGGCTTTGAAAGGATGCGTTTTTTGTGGCGCTCACGGGCATGCACACACACATATAAAATGATCAAGATGAAAGGTTCCAATTGAAACGTCTCAGGTTTAATCCCAGTGGCAGTTTTGGACAAGCCAGCCACCCTGCAACATTTTTGTGGTAAAGCGTGTGTTGTGTTTCTATTCAAACTATTCTCTTGCTATGGCTCATCAACTCCTCCGCTTGTTTTCACTTTAGGTTTACACTTTACTTTACTTTCTTGATTATGTGAAAACATACGTACCTGTACATAATTTTTACATCAAACACAGTCACGTGCAGAATTATGTCAATGGTTCACCAAGATGTTTCCACCTAAAATAAACAGTACAGTACTCCTCAGCAACTTAGAGCCACAAGAAAATGTCAAGGTTTGTCATTTACCTCTATATATTTTACAACATAGAAAAAAATCGGTCATCTTTTTGGGTTTGAATATGAACATTTTGTAAGTATTTAACTGAAAGCAGATGAGTGTGCGCCTGCATATAGGATGACTAAGCTCAATTTTGAATAATTTTCCAGGATATTACAAACTCCGAAATATTATGTTATTCTGACATATGACATAACATGCAAGGTGGTCATGACATCATTTACACATGTATACACAACCCTTAAAGTTAAATTTAGCCATTGGTAAAAAGAAGCATGGTTTCATATCTGTAAGTTGTGATTTATCATTAAAACATAAAACACAACAATTTTATAAAAATTTCTGTTCCAGTTCCATGTAGGAATGCACACAAAACAGGTGCCTATAACTTAATCATGGACTTTATTTATTTATTTGAGTTTCATTTGATGGAAGGTAAACTTATCTTTTCCGATGCTAATAGAAGGTAATTCCAGACCTATCCCTGACCTTTCTGCGAACTGTTTGATCGGAGAGAACAACATTGATTTTCGAGCAAGTGGATTTCTACAAATGTTTCTCTGTGCTGAACTTCTTTTAAGAAATACTATGACCATAATGTTTTTTTTCTTTTTTTTAGAATTCTCATGATGCTTTTGAGTCAGAGTCTTTCAGTCATTATAGTACTGAAACATATTGGGAGGTAAAATGACCCAAGCGGAGTTCCCAAAATGTTCGACATATACTGTTTTATATTTGTATCCCTGCAGGCGAGACAGTAGAGCAGCTGTAACGTCACTTCATCAGCTTAAAGCACAATGCAGGCAGCAGCTGAATGCAGGTCATAGCCTCTGGTATTGATATCGATCTGGTCACAAGAGCTTATTGACTCGGTGGATGCACAAAAAAGTCTATTGCTGTGTATCTCCTACACAGACCAACATTCACACCCTGATTCCAACATAATATATGAATCAGAGTGGGTAGATAATCATGCATGACTGTGTGAGTGGGTTGGTCATGCAGCACAAAAAACTCTTTTTTGTACGTTGCCTAAAAGACAGAGTAAAGACGAGAGGAAACAAAAGGATGTTATTCATTTGCGTGTGTGCGTGTGCAGATTTGATGTTAAGCACTATTGTTTGTTGTCGGTCTGTTTCAAAGTAACAGTTGTTCTAAAGAGGGCAGTGACCACAGGAGAACAGTGGTTTATGGTACAATCAGGCCCAGAGTAAAAAGAAAATGACTAAATGTCCATGATATCTTTGTCACTGTAATGGAACCACAGTATTATATGCTGCAGCTGTGTGGAGAGTGAAGAACACATATATTAGATACCTATCAGTGATAATACAGTTATTGGACAGTTATTAAGTTATTATACCATGGAAAAACAGTTATTTTGATAAAAGTACAGAAAAAGCAACAGTATAATATTTTTTAAACAACTCACTCTCTGTTTAAAGTGCCAATGTCAATGTAACATATTTCTCTTTTTTTTTATAATTTAATGTTGTTGTGTAAGAGGCTGAAACTTTCTTTCTGGAACCTTAGCTTAAAAGTGTTATGTTTGTTCCAATCTCAGTGTACTTTTTAGAGAGCTTGGAATCCATTGAGAAGGTAGTACAGTAAAAATGATGTTTTTGTTTGACAAATTTGTTTGATGAAATTTCATCAACAACCATGCAAGACGCAGGCACACCATGGGTTATGATTCCCTCCTAATGCCAACAGAGAGACCGTTCCCACAGTTATCCCACAGTTTCCATCAGATTCAAACAGATGGGTTGAAAGGGAGTGTCAAGGCTGAGTGAACCATTTCGAGTTTTGTGTTTTTGAGCACTTTTTTGCAGTTCAACTGCTGCTGTTCTGATCTTTTTTTGGGGGGTATGCCTGTGACATCTTTTTCTTCAGCTGTAGAGTGCCACAGTAGCATCCGTGTAAATGCCAGGATCCAGCTTATCCCAGCAGAACACTGCTGGGTTTAAAAGAACAAAACAGCAATCACTTTATGTTTAAGGTGTTTAAATGTCTGAGCTGAAGAGTGTATGAGCTGAGTGAAAATAAATAGAGCTATATACTTACCAATCAACCTTTTTTTTTTTTACCGGTGAGGTTTAGTCTTTTAGGCAGTGGGATAAACCTTCCCTTTGTGATCCATTGCTCAGATAAGAGCCAAGAAAAAGAATCAGAGGAAAAGATCAGATGGATGGATCAAGAGGGATGAAGACAAGTCCAGGTTGTTAAACTAATGGACAGAGCATCTGAGGAGATGAAAAAGCCCTCTGGTGAGATAAATTCACAGGAAGGCAGACACAACGCTTATCTTTCTCTTAATTTCTTTTTGTTGTTTTCCTTTACTTCTTCTGATTGCTTCATAATGATTTTTATCTTCATTTTTATATGACATTTGATCTTCATATTTCTCATCTGAGTCATTCTTCCACCTATTTCTACTTTCTGTCATCACATTTGGCCATTTTCCTTCCATTCCCCGACGATAAAGAACTTCGACATTCCTCCACATACCCAAATTCTGAGTGCAATGTGCTACAGGAAGCAAACATTACCAATCGTGACATTTTTATTATTTGTACAATAGAGACTTTAATACATTATTCAAAACACTTCTTATATACTGAAAAATGGTATGTCCCAAAGCCCAAAATGGCTCTGGTATAGTTGCTGCACAGCATTTTTTCCATTTTATACATATCTTAATTTTTTTGTAAAAACTGTATCTTAAATAGTATGTACAGATAGCGTCTGCAAAATGCATTCTAAACACATGATATATATTATATATACTTCAGCAATTACAGTTCTCTGCATCAATACTCAAACTTAAAACTGGAAGGATTTCAACTTGCATGTGCAAATAAATAAATAAATAGTTCTTTAAAATTGTCACTAAATTTTCTCCCAACTTATAACTCAACAGCATTTCTCTCCTTAGAGGTCAAAGTACTTTTTGTCACACAACAGAAGAAGCAGCATTCAAATTGGGTAGGTGTAAGTACTGCAGAAAGCATGAGTAAGTTCACAATCAATATGAGTCATTTTAAACTGGGTTTCATTCACAGCTTATGTACAGTGAAACTGTCCTCATTTGTTCAGCAGTTCTTATGTTGTTTAAACACATATAAAATGACTGTACTATATATATATATATATATATATATATATATATATACTATATATATATATATAGTATATATAGTATATATATATATATATTTGTATAACACAAATTCACAATTACAGTAGAAATACATTTTATACAGTTTTGGATAGTACATGTGTAGGTTTCCGAGTCATACTGTGCGTACTCCCATCCATAACTTTGTTACAAGTGTCTTTATAAAATATCACAATCAAAGCTAAGGTATATCAATATATTTAGAAAGAATTACCTGAAACATGTAGTAAAAAATAATTATAATATCAAACTTTTCTCTGTTTTCATCATAATATCTTTGATATTTCAAACTTTAAATAGGGTTGGGTGGATACCTGTACTTCAGTCTCTATATCACATATTTAAACTGTGCCATTTTGTGTCCTTAGTGCTGAATTAATGGAAGTCTAATGTTCATTAGGAGAGTTGATACAAAATGGACACAGGATGTCAAGTAAAAGCAAGGGACAGTGAAAAGTTTCACTCATGAAGCATCAGGTGTTATAAATAACAGACAGAACTCACTGCCATGAAATATCTTCAATACATGTCTTGCAATTACACACATAAACAAAATAAACTTTCTTGATATATAGTTATTTCTCTCATATCAATACAGTTCTTCAAGTGTGACCATCAGTCACCAGTCTATACATTTGAGCGTATACTTCTTTTTTCTAATCTTTGTAATGCATAACCTCAAATATAATGCCGCTCTCTCTGCTTAAAACTCTGAATACTTACATTTAGGTCATTAAATCTAATACTGCAGTTTCAAATGTTACAGTGGAAGTTCAAGAGTAACTAAAAACCTTTGTGAGACAGATGAAATATCGTTGTAAACAGGGGAATATTTCAATCAGTGAAGGTTTACATATTAGGACACTAAAAAGAGGCATTATTCCATATTTATTCATGTGGGGACTCATGACTTTCTCATGTCACCTTTCACTCGAGGGTCAGAAGTTTGGACACTTTAGCACAGCAGATGCTAATTGAATTTCAAGCTGAGGAAACACATACAAAAATACTAATGTCACACTTCTGCCCTTTCAAACGTTTGATGGTACCTGTGTAAAGAAAATCAAGGAATGGTATAGGATCTACATGGTATAAAGCATCAAAAACTAGACTCCTCAGGAGTTTAGAGATGTCTAAAGATCAATAGAAAAAGGCCGGCTGAGTCTAATGAATTACTTCCTTGTAATGAAAGCAACCAGTGATCTAATCATGCAATGCCTAAAAATGCGATTGTGTGAGCACATTGAGATCAGTAGAAGACAGGAAAGATGGCACGGATATTATTACTGGTGTTTGTCCAGAGTGGGACTGACCATAAAATAAATAGGGTGTCATGGTACACCAGTTCACAGGGTGCACCAATCATAAGAGTTGGGTTTGTAGGGGCACATTGTGTGTTTGTTTGTAATTCATGTGCATGGCAGTGTGTGTGTGTGTAAACAGTAGCATGACTTGCTCGATAGATGGCACTGCAGGACAAGTTAGGCTCTGCTGAGCCTCAGAAAATATTGCTTTAGCGCTTTTGAATGAAACTGTGCAAGCAACAGGTCTTCAAACATAAAACGAGTAGCAATGGTGATCTATGAAAAGTGTTTTCTATACAGATAAAATAGTGGTATACTTTATAAAATTAGCCATTTAGATAAATTATCCCTGTATGTTCACAAGGGAGAATCCAGAATACAGTTAATAAACAATAATCATAAACTTTTAGAGCTTTTTGTTTAGGCCCTACTGAGAGTGCAGCTATGGAAATCTGAGCCTCTATATATGTACACAAGGCAGACATTCTTAAGTTTTCAATTTCTGTACACTGGAGGCGAAAATAATCAACTGAACTGAACAAAAGTCAATCGGAAGAACACAAATTGGACAAAAAAGAAACTAAATTATAAAATATAAAAAAATAAGACCGAAAAAAAGAAGGGGAAAATAAAGAAGTAGAGGGAAAAGTGAACAACGTGCTACACATACAAATCATTTAAAATCCCAAACAGACAGCAATAAAGGCAACAGAGAAACTCGAGAATACTCAAAGCTAACAAACAACAAAAAAAAAAACAAATTGTTTAGAAGACAAACCAACCACAAAACCCACACTGCAGCAGCCCTGTAGGGACTCAAAAGGGTTGAGTCCACATCTGGTCCGTCCAGCTCTCGATCAGGTCCCTGACCTTAAGTAGACGGAAGAGCCGATATGTTTCCTATGGTACATTTGGCACTGGTATTTGCCTTTGGTCCAGCAATAGGCAAATAAATGTCTGTGTGTTCCTCTAAAAATGTAAAAAAGGCGGCTCATATTTCAGTTCCACGCGCCTCCAGTGGAGAGCAGGTGGGGTGGCATTAGATGGCGATGAGTAGAGAGGAGAAGCGTTGTTATATTTGTCTGTTTATTTTAAAAACTATTTCTAGCGCGTGCTGCTGTCTCTCAGAACCACCAAGTCCACCATCCGTGGGAAACTCTTCAGCAGAGAGACGGCTGTCTCATGCTCCATGTGTAAAAAACTATGTCCATTAGCCTGCAAGGCAAACACGCAGCACAGTCAACAGCATGTGTGTGTGTGTGTGTGGGTGTGTGTGCAAGTATGTGCGTTGCACTTTTCCGTACACATGTTTATGTGTGAGTGTTTGTGGAAGGATGGAGGGTCACTGCCTTCATTATCTCAGTAACACATCACTGTTGGGGGAAAAGAGAGAGAAGAGGAGGAGCTACACAGTCATGCTGTAGAGAGAGAACGGGTAAAGACAAAAAGGGCTTTTAGATGAATTCATCCAGCTAAACTGTACATCTGTGGAGAGAATATGAAGGGGAACAGGGAGGGGAGGAAAATATGTAAGATAGGAGGCATGAAGGAGGGTAAATGCAAATCACTAACATCTCACGTTGACACACATTACTTTCCTATTTTTTTCAGGATAATTCTTAATCTTTCAAATATACATAAAAAATGCAAAGAGGTGGAGATTCTCATTTGTTGCAATTTTTGTTAAATTACTAAATTTCACATATTTATACTGAAGCTGGATTTTGTTAAAAATGCAACACATTTGCGGTGATTTATTGATCTAGTTATTCCAAGTATATTTAGATAAAGGTACATATCTGCTGGAGTTTGTGGTAAAGAATCTGACAAACATTGTTTTTTTGTTTTGAAGAAACTTCTTCCAATGTATAGAGGTATATAGATGTGTCAGATCACTTAGACTTGGATTTTATATGCAGACACTTTTCTTTTGGGAAACAAGCGAGCCTAAATCCTGCATCAAACTGCCCAGCACAACATCGGCTTCCATACCCACTCACATTTAGGGTGAGCGTGTCTTCCAATGTGTTATCAATCTGAATCAATTGGAATTAATCTTCTTGAATAGCTTTTCAAAATCAATTCAACTTACTACTGTAAACAAAATTGTAAACTAAATTTACTTTAATTTATACCTGAGAAAATTGTTTTTCAAACCTTTCTTTGTTACCTTGAGTTAGTTAACATACCCAACCCTAATTCAATGCTTAGGATCCTAGAATCTGAATAACTTTTTGCTCAAGGGCTCATGGACGTCATCAGCTAATGATGAAAGATAGCATGAAAGAACAGAGGCGAGAGGAGAGGGTTTATGCCAAATTTTAAGATGGTACACACACACACAGGCTGAATATAAAGTGAAAGTGTAAAAATAAATCTTAACACTCTTTGGTCACAATTTGTACATTGTCTTGTGAGCACAGATTAACCTTTGCTTGAGTTACACCTTACAAAATTTCTGACAAACTGTATATTAAACAAAATTCTTTTTCGGATGGAGGATAGTGCTGACTGTGGTTGCTTTGATCAGTTGGAGGGTGTTTACCTGCAAGATCTTGTCTCCGGGCTGCAGGGCTGAGGCCGCAGGCCCATCATGCTGTACCCTAGTAACAAAGATACCCTATAAGTCAAAATGATACACCGTTAGGACAACACAGGGACACGATGGTTTAGAATCTTTGCCTTTCTCATGCTCAGCTCAATAACCAAACCCACCCCCACAAAAAAGTCACATTTCTGCCATGAATATTGTCTGATGTCTTAATTTGGAGCGGAATGGAAATTATTCAAAGGTCAAGCTGACAACATAACTGCTAGTAATTCATCATGGCACGACATCAGTACTTGCCGTTTTCTTTACAATCAGTGTCAGTAAATTTAGCAAACTTAGAAGAATCTTTTTTTCTTCCAAAAATAGTTATTTTACAGATAAGGATTTGGCACGGGATAAACATTAGATTAGAAAGAGCAAAAAAAAGAAGAACAAGCTATACACTAGATATTTAAAAATGTACAAAGAAGAACTTTAAAATATAAGTAGGTAGCAGGAAGGGCAGAAGAACTCTAATCCCCCATATTTTCCCTAGATAAGCCCAAGGCAGAGATTGTAAAAACACCAACATCTTTTCACTGAGAGCTGAAAGATGTTTTTGAACACAGAAAGTGTTGGACAATGTGGCTGTATCAACTCAACATGGCTCAGCACATGTTGAACACACAATAGTGAGCTAAACAGATAAATGTGCCACAGAGAATGACACTGGTTAACTAAGAACATTAAGATCTAGTAGTGAGAGTGTGGCCACACAGTACAATCAGTTAGTGAATACAGCAACAAGCACAAATACTGTATGCCTTAAGAAGTTAAGTTGTGATACGTGGCAACATTGACACTGCAACAGTGAGTCTCATACATGTAAAAGAGAGACAATTTTGATAAACTGGCAACACACTGCAGAATTTAGCATGCAGATGTGTCATTATTTTTAGCCAAGTGCTGGGAAAGTGCACAGAATGATTGCTCTCTTGCCAATTTTCATATGGGGCTCACTGTACAATATACATTGATTTGTTAGCAGTTGAAAAACCATAGCAGAAGTTGAAACAATGCACACTTAGACACAATAAAGTGGTTTGCACACAAAGCCACAGTATTGTGCAAAACAATCCATCTTCAAAATGTGCTTTCTCAGAAATCCAAGAACATTTGACAAATTTTGCAAGCTGAGGAAAAGATTCCTGCAGCTCATTTAAAAGGTTGTCTCCAAACTTTAACATGTTTGATATGAGTGGCAGCTTGGTGTGCAACATGAGCAGGAAGAGAACATTTAATTTCAAATATCAATCACAGTCATTTCCTTTTAAGTATCAGAGAATTGGAAGGCTCTACAAAGGAAATCAAATGGGCCAAATAAATGGAACCAAGCAACACTTCAGATCCATGAGTCATGTACATTTGGTATGTACGGGCCGACAGGATCTTAGTTTTTAGACTAATTTAGTCAAATTTGTAAAACCACTAATTATTATTATTATTATTATTGTTGTGTTATGTCAAATTGACATAATAATTCTATTTAGTATGGTTTAAGCCAGTTTGCAGATGTTGAAGTTCTAAACACATATGTTAATCATCATCAACGGATTTCTTGTAAAATTAAAATGTATGATCTCCAAAAAGCATATGTGCACATGTAATGATCCAACAGTGGAGATCTATAAAGTCTATAAAGATAGATTATATGGATTATATATTTATTAGCTATTTAAATCTATAAAGCTATAGTTCTAATACCTTTAAGCAAAGTCCTGTCCTATTAACGCCAAGTTCATAGAAATTTTTTTCTACAATGTTTAACTAAAACAGCTTGTAAATAGTAAGTCAGAAAAATGATCAAACCACAAGTGAAGGTATTTGCATCTATTTGAGTTAAAACCACTGAAAAATAAGCTCTAAAGCTGACAACCACTGGTAAGACGAGAACAAGAGTTAACCATTTCAGCAATGATTTAACATGTGTGTGGAAGAGTCCGAAAAGAAAAAAATTATTCAAATGACAGAGGCAAGATAATAGCTGCGGCTCCAGCTTCACGCTAACTTGAACAGAATGCATTCTGTTCTGTTCTCCATCAAATCCACCATAATCCTCTGTTGCTCAATATCTGGGGTAGACGAAGTGTAAAGCAGCCATACAATCGCAAATGTTTTTAAACTGAACTCCACATTTCATATTAAAACACTTAGGTTTAAGATTTTTTGATCATTTCTGTAACTCTGTGATGCATTAGCTGACATCACTGCAGATACCCAAACGATCAGCCATGAGTCACCTTCAGTGTTTCACCGCACTTCACTGCAGTATGTGTAGTTACTGAAAACATTTTCGCAGGCAAAACCGCAATTCCCCATATACCCCACAGTAACACACATATACATCTCTATATAGACATACACGTATAGATAAAGGGATTTTCTGCTTTGACTCCTTCTGCTGCCTCTTTAACATAGCATTAATAATAGACAAATTGCAGATAGAAACGATGAAATAACTGCACAAGTCAGCAATTGCATCACCAGTTGTCCGCATAAAAATAAAAGGTAAATGATGAATTGACAGTTTATTTGTGATCAGCCTGAACCCTGAGTGAAACATCCCAATTTGTCACACTGGCTGTATGATAGCTGAATGTTTAAAGAGCTCTTTGTCTTTTACAATTCTTTTTATAGATCTGAGGTCTTGTCAGTTACTCGGTTTCTCAGAATGTAACTGTTAAATCTGTCATACGTTCCATCGCTACATCAAAGTGTAGAACATCTAAAATCACCCACAATGTCCCAGAACTAAGCAGGCTTCTCAAAATAGCAGTGAGCACTGTGAGCAGCTTCGCTCCTTTAGACTGACTATGGCAGCCTGTTTCTAGGACACAACGCCACGTACAGCACGCCTCAGGGATCCACAGCCCCAACAGAGTCTGAAAGCAGACACACGATGATAAACTCAGAAGTAAAAAGGATAAGTAGCTTATCTTGAATGTTTGTTTGCTGATATTACAACATTTAAACTGATACGTCCAGGAGATATAGTAAGTAGGTGATCAAACACACAAAATACATGAATAAATAAGGTATCAAATATAATGAGCTTACCACACAGAAGTAGCTATATGACTACCTGCATTTCAGGTTTATTTTCCAAGCACTTTATGATTATCAATGTCATCTGACATAATAAACATAAATCAGCTTGAACCTTGAATTTGTTGACTAATGTAAATACAAAACATCTGTCTTGCTGCTGTTTTCCCACACACTGATATACATTTAAAGTTAACCAAGTCAGCTGCTGCCCCACAAACAGACACACAGATAGATAGACGAAACACTGCGGTAACGAGCAGCAGTTTCCATGGCAACTCTGAGGTAAAGCCAAGGAGGCAGTGATTGGCTGGCAGGCTGAGTCAGGTCGTACCATGTCGGAGGGTTTGAAGGGGTTCCCCTGGCCGCTGATGCCACCAGAGATACTGAAACCAAGACCAGGGTTCTTCTCTATTCTCACACACAACTAAAGAGGGAGGTAGAAGAGGACAAGGAAGAAAAGGATAGACAACTCAAAGTGAAATAAGAAGTGTAAAAGTTGCTTATCAAGCGATGTGTAAATTAACACGTGCAATAGTGCTATCATGTGCACAGTAACACATTTTGGTAGCTATATTGGGAGTCTTAATTTCTCTGACAAATGAGCCACAGTTATACTAATTTTCCTAGTCGAATAATGGTAGCCATCTCATGCTTGGAAGGGCAACACAAAACCCCTGAGGATGAAGTACTGATCAGACTGGTACAAATGTCTTCATGTTTTCTAACTGAACTGTGTAATACTTTTGATTAAAAAACACTTCAGCGGCTTTTTCTGGTTCTATCTTAGAACAAACCGTTGCTGTCAGGTAGCAAGCTCCTATTTCAATGTCCTAAATCGCTCTATATTTTTTCTCTTTTTTCTTTGCTTTTTGTGTTGACGTTCATAAAGGTTGTTGAAATCTGCTTGGAAACTTCAGACAACCCAATACGTTTTATTCAATAAATTTGTCAAAACTAACCACTCCACTCGTTGCCAATCAATTTTGATGCTTTAACGTAACTTAAACTAGCGTTAACTGTTGACTTAATGCAACATTTTATGATACATAGAACACTTGTGAGGTAATGTTCAGGCATATATATGGCTTTTTTTAATCAAAAGCAGCTCTGCAAACAGACCTCCAATATAGTGTGTGTCGTGGTTGCAGCAGGCAGGTGGACAGACAGACATACCTGTTCCTGGTACCCATCTGTGCTCTTCTGGCCCTTAGTTTGCAACAGGCAGCGAGCGCTCTGAGGCCTAGGGTTGGTGTGAGTAGTCATAGCAACCTGGTTGCTGTGGACCATGCCTTGGTTTCCATGGTACTGGGGGTTGGTTGAGGGTAGGGAGGACTGATGAGAAGTGTGAGGATTGTACTGGGGTTGGTTCCCAGATGGGGACAGGGCCATGGGCAAATGGCTACCAGAGTAACCCTGGCCAGAAGAGGAAAGGGCTGTGTGGAAATAGCAAGTTCATAGCATCAGAAAATGAATTGAGCATTTTCCTCAAAATGAGAAATAACTTTAGGGTTGTTAATTTGAGAAATGTTTTTTTATTATTTACAAGTAGGTCAACTTCTACACTTCCCTGAAGTTATTTCAGACTACAACATAAAAAAATCCAAACATATACAAATAAATGTCATCATTATTGATTACCTTGAGACACATTGCCTTGGTACTGGCCTGGCCCACCAGAGGGAACCACTGAAAGAGCCATTCCTTGCTGGTATTGCCCCCCTTTGCTCATCATCCCATCGTAACCCTGCTGCCCGACCACACGATGAGGTGTGGTGGCCGAAGAGGAAGAGGAGGAAGTGACAATCATGGTGTTGTGTGACTGGTGTGAAGGGTTGTGTGAATGCCCGCTCTGTAGAAAGAAGACAAAACAGTCAGGAACGTTTGCATGACAAATTCTTTGCTCATCATCACGCAAATACGTAAACATCACAATTGGGATTTTTAGCGCTGTACTCTCTTGCAGAAGGAGAAAAACATTCCACAGGAATAAATACCCAGGTGTGTCAGCTCACTTTTTTCATGAGGTTGTCAGGTGGAACGTCCCTTCTGCCCAGTGAATAGGGAGCCCACTGGTTACTCCCGGACACCCCCTCCTGGTCATTATCCAGCATGGCTGCCTGTTGAGAGGGAGTCTGAAAGAGACAGAGAGGGCATCAGTGAAAGGAACATTTATATTCACATTCCAGCATTTCTCTGCTGAGTTTACGTGGGTCATAGCAGATTATGCAGTTTAAGAATGAACGGGGGTGTCCTAATCACATTTTCACACAAAACATCAGTCAGTATGGTTGTGTGCCTGATTATGTACTGCTTAAAGATTATGAATAGTTTGTGTTTGAGTCACAGTGCAAAAAACAAAGACTTCAGATTGTTGATATAATGTTTGGTGACAATGTTTAACAGTACCAGACATTGTCTTTTTCCAAATGATGTCCTGTATATGTAAAATGTCTTAACAGTACCCAAATTCACAAATAAATAATTCTTAAAAGACATCTACATTCAGCTTACACTCAGCATTGTCTTCCTTCTTTAATGATAGGGCCGATAACCGAAGTGCTTTCACTACGATCGCTCAGTCCACATTTGGAGCTGCACAGCAATGTGTACGGCCAATTTATTTAAGCGTAAATGTGAATCTGTTCTTAATCACACTGATATCCAACACACACACAATGAGGATAGGAGAGAGTTGGTGGCAGCATTATGCTATTGACTTTAACACAAAGAAGCAAAACAGACAAAATTCATCCCAGCACCGCTCACTTTTACAATTCGCTGTCAGTTGTGGTTGTTTAGGGTTAGACGTGAATATAGTACTTTATAAATAAATAAAAAAAGCTCATGGTTGCCCTTTTATGAGGGGGCAATCCTATGTATTCAGGAATTACAGCTGTAACCTGGAGTTTATTGCCATCAGTGGAATACTCACAGCGTTGGCAGATGGAGGAGGAGGTAGTGGCAACCAACGGCCAGCAGGGGGCTCATGCTTAGTGTTATTGTAAAGGTTAAAGTTCAAAGTGCTGCTGCGCCCCTGGCCGTGACCCCCGCCCTGACAGAGCATGCCCAGCGTGAGCGTGTTGTGCTTTAGGACACCACTCTGATTGGAGAAGACAACATTACACGACATGGGTGTATGAGGGGGAGGGGGGAGTGGGTGGAGCCAACACAGCGAGCCAACACAGCTCCACAAACAAATAAACAAACACTGATAAAAACAACAACAACAACGGTGCAGATTTGCTGAAAGCACAGAGAAATGTTAGCTGCCGATTGGTCAATACACACAGAACATTGTGCAGTACAAACAACAAGTGGGTCATCTCATCGCAAAAATGTTTTCCTTTTATATATGTACATATATATATATATATGTATATATATATATATAAAACTTTAAAAACCTTGATACTGAATATAATTTATGGTGAAATGATAAAACTCTGTGTATGGAATAATAACAAAGTTCAGTGCTTCCTTTCAACATAATCTCAAATTTGCCAGTTATTTTATAAAGCTTTTTATAAAGTGTGTTTTCCATTTTTTTCACCATGCCACATTTTTTACCAGCGTGAAATAATTCGTTTGACATTTTGGAAATAATGCTCAATGGCTTTCTCGCTGTAAGTCAGAGCACACCATTAATAGCACTCTCATGTCTTTGGGGCAGATATGAAGCTAAAGAATGCGTTAGACCCAAAAGTGTGGGTTAAAGGACTTTAAATACCTGGAACATGAGTTACGACAATAACTATATATAGATGATTGGACAAATAAATCCAGATCAAGTGGATGGCTAAGAGGCACGCACACTGTCATTCTTTCAGATACCGTCAATTTCAACAGGATTTAAATTATTACTAAGATGCAGCCAATCCCAATCTGTTGTCTGTTCCAAGTATGTTATTTATTTGATATATTATTATCAGTTATATTCTCTATATTAGTACATTTGTTTGTGACAACCTTTTTTGTATGAGCCTATTAAAGATGAAGAGAACACTCTTCCTCTGATATCACCAACTCTTATTTAAACAGTGCCAATTAAAAGAAAACACTTCAAATTTCTTAAAACATATAAAAGCTTTCAGGATAATCCCACATTAGAAAACTGCCCTAGAAACACAAATTATTTATTTTTGAAAGTGAAAAAATACTTTGGTTGTTTTGACATTTTTCATCAAGTCACATTTAATTATAATTCAAGTGAATTTTCACTTTTTTACATGACACAATTTGGAGATTTGTGATTTTCACAGCACATATCCAGTGGTGAAAGTGCGGTAGGTCAGGCTGACACAGCGACAGTGTGAAGTGGACACACATGCAGCCAGACACAAAATTGGTCAACCTTACAACACAGACTTACAAGGATACAAACAGGGAGGGCCTCTGAATGCTCTGCGTCCATGTGTGTATGTGTGCATTAATTTGTTGTGCAAGTTCATCAACATACCCTGTCCAGGCGTTTGGCCTCTATGTGCCTGAGAAGTTGTTGCCTCCAGTCGGCAGGCATTTTAGAGGTGATGTCTTCGGGTTTCTGTGGTACAACGGGCCTTACTTTGATGGTGTCCTCAGATGGTTTCTCAGGACAAGTTGCTAGGGTGTAGTCAGGCGGCATCTTCTCTAGGAGGGCAGCCATGGTGGGTCGAGCTGATACTGGACGGGCCTGATATAAATGGAATATATGACAATACAGGGAGTAAAAACACTAATGCATGCACATGGAATTCAAATTTTGGAAAGGGGTGGACCTTAGCGTATCCATTTAACTTCAAAATCAACTTTGAAGATTTAACTTTACTCAGGATTGCCTTGGCCTTTTATTTGTTCCTTTTGTATCTATTCCTATATATAGGCATTTTCTCTAGGAAGGCATCTATATATAAATAAATATATATATATATAAACATGGAAATATGTTTTCAGATCAATATCTTAGATAGTATTATAAGTTGGATGGATGATACCTCCACCTGTTTGAAACAACAAGGGCAACACAGTTCACAGTTTTTTTCTTTGCATTTTTAACCTGAGATGCTCCGTAGGTCTCTGTACTATAGCTCCTGGCAGATAAGGGGCGACGCTGAGTCAGACTCTTCGTTGGATAGCCAATCATGGGCTTCTTCTGTTCCTGGTAAGAGGAATAGTCATCATCATAGCGACCATTTCTCTTGTTGTGTATCATCTGACTTTGGTTGTCGGCCATGTTGTGGTCCATGGGACTTGAGTAGGCAAGAGCCCGACTATAATGAGGGGGTTCCGCCTGAAATAGATATATTATGAGATTTTACTGGACACATCCTCCAGCTGTAATGATGCATCATGTGTTTATGTTATCATTAATAACAGAACATTATATAAAGTATACGCAGGTTACATAATTATCCTACTAGATTTTACCTGTTGTCGAAACTGAGCCTCCTGCAGCGCCTCTTGCTGGGCTTCATGAACCCTGCGAAATAAAGCAAGCTCCGTTGAGCTAACCAAAGAATCCGCTCTTCTCAGAAACCCTGGCCTGGAGCGCTGGGCTGGGATTGGCTGCTGCTGATGGCTGTGTAGGCCATCCTGGTTGATTGGTGACTGAGGGAAAGAAAACATCTCTAGCGGGGGATATGCACGATACCGAGGGCTCACTAGCTCTTTTGGCAACGTCTTCCCCGGTTGATTCAAGTACTCCAAAGCCTTTGATGAGTGGTTGACATAATCTGGTGTGTTTGGGAATGGGGGAGGGACACGGCGATCCATGGTCACCTAATGGGTAAAAATGGTTACCATTTAATAAAAGGTTTTAGGAGTATCATATTCACTGTGAAAAACTGTTGTTTAAGTATGAGACTTTATCTTGAAAAATTCTGCATACTTCATCTAAAGTAATAATGTATCACTGCATTCAGCAGAGAAAAAAAATACACCAGACCTGGGGGTTGTAATTCTGGTCAAAGTGATAAGCCTTCTGTGGAATGGCGGGTTTTTGGTTCTGCCCAGACTGGTTCTGACTGCTACCACCAGGAAAGCCCATCTCATCATCTAACATGGGGGCAGACTGTGACCGCGCCATGCTGGTTTGCTCCATAGAACCGAGTAGTTCTGGACGGTCCAAACTAGTCTGCTGCTCGATGGATGAGCTATAGGTTTCCATGGGAATACTGTAGAAAGATACAATCAGTTATGTCTCAAGTTTGCAAGCTCACTTGAGTTGCCCTATAAACGTGGATGTTTCATGGTTAAAATAGGAACAAAACATACCTGTAGACTTTGTATGAGCCAATGTCAATCTCATCTATGCTCTGCGATTTCTTAAACTTGGATCTTGTTTCTCTCATCATAGGGGACAGGCGGTCTGAGCTTTTACTCATCACCACTGTCACCTTGTTACCTCCACCGACACTGAGCTGATCTTTCCTGTTCTGTTCACCCTGATTGTTGTGGTACGTCCAGCTCCCAGGCAAAGGCCCTGAACCCTGTTCCAGTCTTGCAACAGAAAACAAGGAACTGTGACTCAGTGACACAGTTTCGGGGTTTAACGTCAATTTGAGAACCAAACATCAAAAAAGGTATTTTTTAACAACAGAGGGAGAAAACACAAAAAGGTGATGATGATGTTTCCATTCTGTTTGAACAACTGATAAAATTAAAAAGGTTTAATCCATCTCTGTAAGAAAAAGGTCACTTTGTTCCCAGAATATAAATTTAGTAATTATATAAATCCAAACAATAAACACACATCCCAATAATCTGTTATCTGCTGATCAACATACTGCTACAAAAATAGTGAAATTGCAGCTAAATTTGAACCTTTTAATAAAGAAGTTACGCTTTCAGTCAGAGAAAGTTAAATTAAAGAAGCTAAAGTTATTAAAGAAGTAGTTTAAAAATCAGCTAATCAATGCTGATATAAAGGGCACATTAGAGTGCTGATTGATGCCCATTCAGATACCTTGAGTCTATGTCTTTGCGGTCAGGGTTTGGACTGGAGGTGGGTGTCTGGTCCAGTTTGGATGGGAAAGCAGTTCTGTCCTCCAGAGGACTGGGAGTCCTAGTCCAATTCTGCCAGGGGTTCTGGGAAGGAGGTCCAGAGGACTGTGGGTCATTATCTGGTGTGGAGCGTTGGTTGCTGTGGTAGGGAAGTGTCTGGGTGTCCAGTTCTAGGGGGACTCCTACGATTCGCTCTTGCCTGAGGAGGGGGCGGCGGCCATGTGTTGACTGGCTTCGGGGTTTGGAGCCCAGTGGCGGGTTTCCCTGACTTGTATTAGATGACGCAGCGTCTAGCGGAGACTCCTCAGCATCAAAACCTGTGTTGTCATAATGAGGGGCCTCTGACCAATCAAAAGGCTCACTGAGTGGACGCCGGTCTCCCCGCTGCTGCAGGGTCCCTGATGGAGGGGTCTCTCTCTTTGATAGCAGGGGCTTGGAGTCAATAGGCTTGGGGAATGACTGGGCAAGCCTACATAGACAAAACACATCAAGCATGAATGATACTTTGAAATCTGAGAAAATAAGCTGCATTAGTGAAGTACCACACTACATTAATATTTTCAGGATATCACTATATCAGAGCCAATGGGCTCTGGGAACAGCAAAGCTTTCTCCATGTTACTGATGGCCCTCTACAACACCAAGTGAGCCAGTGCACATGTTTGGCTTAATTAGGTTTCTAACAGTATGAACACAAAATAGCAGTGCCCTTAGAACACATTGGCGTCATTACTAATTTGTAAATACCACATTTTACAAGCACACATTCAAACATTGATTCATACCCCAAAGCATGTAATGTGACATCTTAAATGTAAAAAAACAAAAACATATTTCATGCTCGAGGGGTACCTAAGAACAATGACAAGAATGAAAAGAGCGAGGATGAAGAAATTAATTTTAATGTCATTGGAGACCATGTTTTTAGTTATGGAGCAAATTGAATGTATTTTGGTTTGGTGGCTGCCTCGTCGGAAAGAAACATAAAAGTCACATCATCTTGGTCGAATTAATTGAGGATTGCTGGAAGGAATAATTTGACAATCTTTTTCACAGCTGATTTTCCCTTTGCCGTGGCTGTCACATATTTTCCTACTTTTCGTCTCAATTTTTGTCATGTTGGGATGTATTTATCTACAAACAACCCATAAAGCATTTCTATTTTTAAAACCTATTAGAAAAACATTGTTTACCATGTAGCATTATATATAAGATTATTACATTATCCCACATGTATTCTTGTCTGTTTATATGATGGTTAGAAGAAGAAATTCAAAAGCATTTTTAGATAGATAAATTACTGATGCTTGAACTCTGCTGGAATCTTTTGAAAATGAGGAGAAGAGAGCTGAGACAGAGTGTCCGTAACCGAAGTTTGCAGCATCCTAATGAATCTCTTTGACCTTGATTGAGCAAGTAGAGAGATGAGATAGACGCAGAAATATGGAGAAGGAGAGGATGGATAGGGCAATTGGACAGATAGATGAGCTATGTGATGGATGGAGGAGATTGAAGTAGGGTGTGATTGAAGGAAAAGAAGAGATGAGGGATAGATAGAAAGATGGGTGGTGAAGAAGCTTAATATGAGGCAGGCATGGGTACCTATTTGTCCAGTGGGTCTGAGGAGCCTGGTCCTTGTTGGGGGCTGGAAGGGCAGGGTTATGTTGGTGTGCATGAGAATGTGTGTGTGCGTGTGTGTTGGTGGGCGGGTTGGAGGATCCGGAGGACCCCTGCGAGGGAGAATAGTCTGAGTAGGTGGCAGAGGAGCCACTGTGGTTCAGACAGTGGAGTTTATCTACATCTTCATCTGTAGACTCTGAACAGAAACAGACAGATAGACAAGCAGCTTTGCTCTATGAAAATGTCACATCCTCTTTCTCGCTGAAAAACTCTTGAAGTACTGCTGAGAAGCTTTTAACAGGGCTGAAAAAGTACTTAATTTAAACTCTTAGATTTAGTATATTTCCATAGATATTCTCCATGCAATCTGATGTGACATTGTGGAAGACAAGAAGCACACATTGAGGTGGATATTTTCAGTGATATCTCAGACAGATCAAACTATTCTGGCTTATCATTTAACACCTGCAGCGTTGGGTATTTTAAGTGATATAAGATAGTAGTAAGTGATTTTAGATAGTTCTGAAAGCTTAACATGGTATAGCTGGAACACCAACATGTTCCAGTCAGCGCACTGAGGTCATCAACCCAGTTTGTTGTACACATTCCATTTACCAGGCTCAAAAGCGGGAATGGCAAGGCTTTTCAGTGACTGCTTCTGAATTATAGAAATGTCTGTGCCTTCATATCCGAGCTGCTCATACACTGTCAGGATTAAGTCCCTGCTTAAAACCCATTTCTTTTGAATAAAGTTGATAAGGATATCTATCTAAACTGTTCCACATCTTCTGTTTTTAAAATGTTGAAATTAATGTATTTTAAGTACTTTTTCCATACAGCTCTTTTGTCAATTTGAGAATGTGTAAATGTGCTACATCTAGAAAATTGACTATAGATAACTAAAACTACTTGATTTGTTCAAATTGTGAGGGGTTTCTGATAAAATAATTCCCTTAATGCTCAAGTAACCAAACAACAAAAGTCCTATCAATGTTTTAAAATCAGATGCCTAAATTGGAACATCTGAGGAGCCTGTTCATACATTAAGAATGTTCCAGTGCCCCAGAACAAAACCATGTAAACAGATACTTAACTGCTTCATAGCTCATTTGTTCAACCAAAATAAAAAATACAAAGCATCTTATCTATGGCTGTTTTAAATGCCATCATACAAAAATAGACAAGCTTTTCAAGCTTTAATCATTTCATATTTCCTTCCCTAAAGAAAGAGAATATTATAAGACAGAGTTCTGAATTAATAAGAGCCACAGTTCACCATGGGGAATAGATAATAAATTGTGACTTTAAGAAGATGCGATTAGCATACTAAATTATTTAGCTCTAAACAGATTTTTGATTAGGCATTAACATTTGCCTTTTTCCCTCAGATGAAACTCAGATCTTTAGGGCAAAACAGACAAAACAGGACAAACTAACACTGCTCTATCTATAGTCACTGTAGAAGTCCACAGCACCACCTCCCTCTCTGTTATATGCTGAAATGAATCTGCTTGTGACTAATCAATGTGCATTATTGCAACAAGACCCCTACTTTATGGGATTCGGTTCAGCAATCGTGTGCATAGTGAGAACTTTTAAGTATAATACAGTACCTTTCTTATCTTTCCCCAACAAAACCACCTTCGGTTTGTACATCGGTGGCTCCACCAGTGTGGGTCTCATATCAGAGATTCGGATGTCATTGGGAGAGCCACCCATTGAGTCCTGAAAACAGACAAATGAACCATCAGCCTGACAATGGGTAGGTCTAATGCAACAGGGCATATTTTTCAATCCACAGAGCAGCTAAAAGGTGATGGACTGACAATAAACAGCACAACTTTCTACAAAAATCTGACTTGGAAGAAAATTGAAAAAGGCTTACATCCTATGTGATCTAAAGAACGCCAGCTGTTCTTGTCTAAGAAATGTATGTTTCTTTTCTATTCGGTCGGTCACTGTGGTTTAAATTGACCCAGATGATAAAGATACATAATCATCAGGAATTTTTTTTTTCTTTTGGTTGTTTTTTAAAATTCTCTAATGACTATAGTAATTTTTTTGACAACACAGAAAAACAGGTCTATAAGTTAAGTCTTTCATCCTATAGAACTATACCCACGGTTAAAACATTAAATGCTTTAAAAGAGGGTAAATACATGTCACTGCTAACCTCAGAGCTCTCCGTCAAATCTTCTTTGTCCTTTCTCTTGGGAATGTCGATTCCAGAGTTATGCATTGAGCCCTGATCCATTAGCTGAGACTGAGTGAAGTCCTGCATCTCTCTGTCTGTCACCTGGTAAATAGTTTGATTTATTGCAATTTATTGCATAAATTATATTTGCAATGTTTGAGCAAATACAATTATTGGGGGCACATTTGATATGCCTGCTGTGTCTGTGGCTTCACAGCTATAAAGGCTTTGTGTGATATACAATACATTCGTCAACCTGGCATTGATCAAAAATAAATTTCTACTTGTCTTACGAAGATACGTAGCATAGATAAATGTAAGAAGAAGAAAATATCTAAGAGTGCAAAATTTTCCGCAGACCTTTCCCAACATTAGGAGTATAAAATAAATTAAAAAAAGAAATTCTGTTCGTACTGTATTTACAATTAAATAAGCATTGTTAACAGGCACACTGTAAGATTGTTTTACCTTATGAGGTAAATATAGTTGTTCATATATGTTCATTTTCACACAAATTGACCTCATAAACACCATCATCTATTTGTTACAGGATATCTCAACTTCTACATGAAGCAGAGAGCGTGTGACCTGCATGTGAGCTGTGCTTGAATCCCGTCTGTCTGTGTGTGTCTCTGTCTCACCTCTTTGGGAGGCAGGGGCCATGGCGGCTCATAGGGCTCTTTGCTGTGGTGTGTATGCTCCATGTTGGTTCCTGCTGAGGTGGCAGTGCCTGTGCTCAGCTGAAGCTGATGCTGGTGCTGGTGCTGATGCTGGTGTTGGTGCTGGTGCTGGTGCTGGTGCTGATGCTGGTGCCCATGTCCAGCATGTATGTTTTTACCCACAAGACTTTGCACCGACTTGACCATGTTCTTTAGGTCTTCGGGATAGGGTGTTGGGTATCGCTTCAGGTTTATTTCAACCTAAAAGGAAAGAATGAAGAATGCTATAAGAGAGTGAAAAAACAAAATCAGAAAATCTATAATTTCATTAATTCTCTTCACCATGATGCTATTCATTTCCAAAAGCCTATTTTAAGTCATATAGTTTCAAACTGATCCAGTATTACCTCAGCTACATTCTAGTGTCTCAGGCTTTGAAAGGTTGAACTTTGAGGGGATTTACACTAAAAGAACATTTCGGTTTCTATCAAAGATTTATGTCAATAATGGTAGAAACAATCAAATGAGCAAATGTGACACATCCTGAACATATTCACAAATTTTCACTATTGTTATTTTCATATGGTGAGAATAAAAACAGAACAAAGTAGAAAAGGCTAATAGAAGCCAGAATAGTCTAGCACAAGACAGAGTGAGACAGAGAACCAGATTGGGCCATCTTTATTAAAAGCTATCTTATGAAAGCAATTTGGCCTATATGAAGTCAAACTAATAAACCACTTTCCACGTTTCCAATCAGGGCAGGAAGAAAAGCATCAGGATATAGCTGCTGCCACCCAGAGAACAATCAAGCCATCAAATTGTCAAAGCTTAATCCCAACCTAGAAAAAGTGAAGCAATTTAAAAACTCCATTGTGACTTTAAACATCAATATTTTTATCTGCCTGCAATCTCAGAGAAAGGCCCTTGAGCCACACTCAGTGAGAATAACAGTAAGAACAAACCCCAAATCATAGAACCAATGTCAATAGGACCTGTATCACATCTGAAAAGTGATACCATTCTAAATTGCTACAGAATTACAGAACATAGTGGTAACTTTATCATGGATGACAAGAGACAGCTTTTGTGACAAAAAAAGTAAATAAAAAATATGTACTACAAAAAACATGAGGACAGTAGTTAAACATGTGATTTTTTGTAATTCATTTATATATTTATTACACTGTTAATGATGAAAGAAAGTGCTGATGCCTGTTTTAGGCATGCTGCTACACTTACACTTTTTCTGTTGGTTCTTTTGGAATGCTCAGAAACACACTAGTGAATAGAACATTATGCCAAAGGTCTATTCTGTGTCTTTTAGCAGTACTGGAAGTAAGCTAGTTAAGAAGTGTTGTTGCTGTGAAAGAACTAAAGACTCACAAGGTGAGGGGAAAAAAGGGCTCAGTAAAAATGAAATTGATTAGATTTTCAACCATAATAAACATTTTTTTCTATTAGTGCATACATAATGAGTCCATCCATTGCTTTTATTAATGAGCTGTATATCTGCTGAGTATTTGCTCTACTAGTTCAGAGCTGGAGAGGGTCCAGACACTGTCTTTGCAAAAACTGGATAGGGAACCTTCCTCAGACATAACGCATCCAATTAGGTAATGAGACAGAGAGAAAAACGGACAAGAACAGCAAAAGACAGAGAGCTGACCTTGACCTTCCCAGAGTTGTCTTCCTCCTCTTTCTTGTCCTCAAAGTCAAAGGCCACTGTCATTCTCTGCTGCCTCTGCTCCTCCCACAGAGTTGGATTAAAGCTGTCACTGTCCGACTGGTAATCTGTGAACACACATAAATCCCTAATTAATTATCACAGTTTTTCCTGATATAATGAACTAACAGGTTATTCAGTGTAACAAAGGATAAAAATGGCCCAACGTAGATTTCGCACAAACTCTTTTTACCCTCGTCGTGCCGCGGCTGCTGAGGAAACATGTAGTTGGTCAAAACTTTCTGTTTGGTTTCGGGATGGGCTTCTGTCTGCAGTGGGATCAGAGCTTTGGACTGCAGAAACAGACACACATATCAGCACTCCTGCAGAGCCCATTACTGGTAATCTATGGTAAATATAAAGTCAACTAAATCTAATTTTAACCCAAAACTGTTCTCAGAAGCAAATATCTGTGCATGCCATATTTAGTCTTTTTCAATCCGATACAGAGAAGCTTTACGAAGCAGAAAACATGCCAACAAAGAAAACAACTTTTACATAAAAGATTTTCAGTTTTTGTGTCATGAATTGTTAGTTTTTCAGTTTATACTTTGAAGAAAGGTAGACATAACCATTATAAAAATGTGAGATAACTAAAATAAATAGTATTTTGCAATACATGAACCTATTGTAAGTTGCATTTTCTATTTTGTTAATCAAATATAAATAAACCATGATATTCTTCCTGAAACTTTAATGTCAACCTCCCATGAATCTCCATGATCAGTGTTAACAGATGTAATGCATGAATGAGCACGGTTGAATTTCAGTCCCATTTTGAGGCAGCGCATGAATGCATTAGTAGAAATTTTAAATGTAAATTTGAGTTTCCACTGCCATTTCACAAATTGCATTTGAATTTAAAATGTGTTCATATTTTAGCTGGTAGATAAGTATCCACTGATGCCATGCCATTTAATGTCATTTAATGCTTCAGTTCAACTTTAAAGTCAACCTTAGAAATACCGAAATGGCACTTTGTCTTTTTTTTAGTCGTATTATGATGTTACTGAAAAATAATTTTATGTACAGAAAAATGGGTATGCACAATATATACATCTGTAATGCGATCAGTTCACATGGTCATAACATTTTCATTAATGATTGGCGTTAAGGGAGTCTAAATACCAGAAAAAAAAATACTAAGAAATACATCATGGTCCAAATGTGATCAAATATGCTTAAAACAACGATTTCTTTAATGAGATGATGGCTTTGTGTGTTGTGCTGCCCACAAGCTGACAGTAAAAGTCTCTTGATGAGTGAAATGTAAAAGAGACATACCTGATTGTCTGAGAGCCACAGAGCTGCCAGGTCTTTCAGCTTAGTGAAGGTAAACGGTAAATTCTTTAACCTGTGAGACACATAGAAAAAGACAAGGAGGGAGGGGTGAGAAAGAAGAGAGAGATGTTTCATCTGCCCACGCACTGTACAGCCTGCAGAGGATGTAACCATGGCAACACACTCACCCATTCCCATGGTAACCGCAGACCGTGCAAGCGGCTACAGAATCAAAACTGGCCATTGAGAAAGTGTTACCTGCAAGTGTGTGTGTGTGTTGATTGTAATTTCTGAATCATATCTCATTCTCCGCCTCGGGGTGTGTGAGCGTGGGTTTGTGTGTACCTGTTGTCGCTGAGGTTAAGGACACGCAGTTTAGTCATCTGTCCGATCTCATCAGGAAGAAACTCCAGTTTGTTGGACCGCAGTGACATCACCGTCACGTTCTTACAATTACCAATCTGAAACACAGATGCAAGCACACACACGCACACACACGGCGGATCAGGTTGCTCTGTAACTATGGGAACACTTTGACAAGATTTGCAAGTTTATCGCACGGTACAGTTTGTCAGCAGGTTCAGTGGGGTTAAAAATATGACTCCAGAGCTTATGGTGAAATAACAATGTAACACCCGTTTTCATGTCAATGTTACATTTTACTTTAAAAAAAGATAGGATTTCTTTTCAGAGAATATGGGCTACAACCTGAGTAACATTAAATAAAAGCATTTGCTGTATCTTGACTGAGTTTTCTTCATAATTATTGTACATTTCACATTCTAAACTTAAGTCTCAGTTGTCTTAATTTGATCATTTTCTATTTCTTCTGTTAAGATGTTGAAAATATCAAAGAAATGAAAAAGACAGTCAGTAGATGGTAAGGATGGGAAACTGAAGGACAATCAATGTGCCAAACTCAAAATGTTTGTATTTGACGTTTTCCTGGATGTATTTTTTTAATATCCTTCTCAAATCAAACCAGCCCTGCAGTGCAGAGGCACAAGCGATGTGCCTACCTCCCGCGGCAGCTCTGAGAGGAAGTTCTCGTCAGCTGCAAAGGTCCTCAGGTTGTGAAGGTAGCCAACAGTGGGAGGCAATGACTCCAGCTCATTGCAACTACAGTCCAACTCCTCCAACAGAGACAGACTGCATGATGGGAAGAGATAGCATGACAAAGAAAGAACGGAAATCATTCTGCATTTCTACTGCAGTCTTTGGTTTGAAAAAATAATAATTCTGATCCAGTACTTCCACAACTTTCAGCAACAACAAATCCTGTGAAAAGACTGAAACCAAGGATGAAGTATAATTGTAAAATAGAATACTGCACTGTTCAGTTGTGGTAAGTACGCACCACATACATGTAGCTAGAAAAAAAAGTGAACAGGCATTTGTACTCTTTTTTAGTTAAAAGTTGTCAAGGACAAATCTGAGCCCTGAAAAAAACCTGTGTGTAACTAACAAACAGGTACGGATGTAGGGTAGTCTCAGAATTTCCATAGGATTTGTTGAAAATGACCAAAGGAAAAAAAATGGAACTACTTTAAAGTGAATAGCATTTAGACAAAAAGGATCACCACATTGAAAAAAGATTCAATTATTTAATCAACATATCAACATACCACATTCATTTATACTCATTTAAATTCTCCAACTTTTAATTTTCTAATCTCTGATGCCAACATTTCTTTAAGTAAAGTCTCCACTCCACTCTGATATACTGTTAAATCTATTGGGAGCCCTTTACAAGTCACCATGACCTCTTTTGCCTGCTTCCACTGGCCTGACACCACATTTACAGCATGCTAATGGTAATGAGACAACAATTTTACATTAATGTACTGTCACTGTTAACAATGCATTAGTCTGCCGGTATTATTCCCGACAGACGAGACCATCTGGACCACCATACGGTCTGACCAGAGAGCAGAGGAGGGGGAAGGAGAGGAAAAAAGTTTTATGTTCCATATCAAGCTTTATAGTAAGGTCCTGTCTTCTAATATTTAATTTGTCTGAGCAATTCTTACCTCTATTGAACCACCAGAATATCAGGTAATGGTGTATACATAAAATGTAACCTAAACAGTGGTTGTAAGATTAGGTTCCATCAGCCTACAATCTGTAAGGTATTGTAAATTTTAAAAAAAAGTTTTGCCAACATTTCACTTTGAGACACAATCATCAAAATTCATAGGGCTGAATAGCTCCATAAAGTAGCACAGTTTAGATAATACTAGCAGGAGCTTATATATGTTCATTTTTTTGTAAAACAATGTGTAAGAATTTGATAAATAAGTCTGTTCAGATTGGAATGATTCTAAATAGTCTCAGATTATATTGAGTATCAGCTATGAAGCATGCTCAAATTACACATAATTTATGGTAAAAAATCAACGTATTCAGGAAAATGAGTTGATTAGTTGTTGGAAAAAGGCATAATAAATTAAATTGTGTTTATCATGGGAAAGAACACCTAAAATGTTAAATGGGAGAGAAAGGGACCTTTAGAGGGAAAGTAATGAATCTACAGTAGCTGCTACTTATTAAGGCTAAAACCTGGGATGTGTTCAGAAACACAGATACAATTACATTCAGATACAATTTTAGACAAAAATAGTATGTAGATGTGGACATGGCATATACACACACGCAATGTAACTACTAAATAAACTAAACTAAATAATTTCCCCCCCACATTGATTTAATTTAGTTGCTTTGTTATTCTGTATTTTCTTTAATAACATTTTAATAACAAGCAAACAAGCAAACCCTCAACCCTTCTGCCTAATTCAAGTGTTTATCTTTTTAGCACATGAATTAAAGCATATACATTGACAGTAAATGAACTATGATGGCTCATTAATGTTAATAATAAATTTGTGCTATCATTTTACATGCAACCATTTTCATCTTAATCTGGTAAATTTTAGATGTTCGGGGTTCAGAAATCGTTTGTGAAACAAATGGATTTTCCGGATCAGATATCATTTCCAATAGCCCAGACATGAAGGCATGATACAGTTGTTTATGTTTGCATGTAATTCAGATGAACATGTTTTCCACATTTCTGCTTGTGGTAGAAAGATATTGCTTTTGTATCTATAACGTAATTGCACATCTGTCTGTCTCTGAACACACCCCTGGATCCAGGAGGCTATTGTTACTCACCCTTGCTTGGGCTTCGGACTAACGCCATGGCAACGCAGCAAACATAACAGACAGAACCCCCCAAACATCAGCCATCATAACAAAACAGCCGCTTTATAGTAATATATGTACAACAACCCACTACCAACCCCATTAAAATCGATAAAAGAAAAAAAAATATGTTGAAGGAACTTCTGAAAAAAAACTAAGAATTGAATGCATATGTTTGAGTACTCCTTCAGCTTCAGTTTGTTTTTGTCTTTTTTTTGTGAGGGTTCGTGTCATTTTCTTACCTCCCAATGGTGTGAGGCAGTGAGGTTAGCTGGTTGTCATCTACCTTCAGTGTGGTCAACTTTTTCAGCATCCCTACATCAAACGCAAACACACAAATGCAAAGTTCCTAGGAAGAACGACTTAAGAAACTCTATCATACATAATTTACCAATAGTAATATGTGTCACTTTTTGGTCTGAATACTCTCATTCCTTTCCTCTGTACAACACTGTACAATAATCTGCTGCTGCCAGCTCCACTGAGGGCTGATAGATTAGATTACTACTGAAGAAATATGTTTGATTGCAATCTTGCTGAGAGCTAAATGAGAAGATCAATACCAATCTGCTGGGTAACTATAAAGCTGATACCAGTAGCTTGTTTGTTTATCTTAGTTTTGGCTATATGGTGTTTAAAGAACATAAAATAACACTTGGACCTACCATCACCTTTACTGCTCTTAAGGTTCTACATCTTGTTAATGAGCTGGTATAATTGCGGGGAGATTCTTTTTGTAAAGAATTAAAACTGATTCTGTCTAGAAGACGAATACCAAGTGTGTTTCCAAAATGTCAAGCTGTTTTTGTGTGCGTGTATAAACGTCTGGCCAAAAGAGCACAGCAGCTTCGCACGCTTGGATGAAGTGACAGAAAGTCACAGCGTCTGTGTGTGAACTGCTGTTTCTCTGCTCATTTGTACGTGTGCATGTGTTGCCAGAGGGGGCACCTATTGTGTCAGGGAGGTGCTGCAGCATGTTCGAGGATAGCAGCAGGTCTTCTAAGGCCTCACAGCCAGAAATATCCGTGTCCAATGTCTCAATACGGTTCTTAGCCAGGTCCAGGTACCGCAGCTGACGGAGCTTCCCTATCGACTGAAGGGGTGAGGGTGAGGAAGAGAATAGAACGTTTGATGACCAACTTTAGATAAGTACAAGTTTTGCATGATGTGTAGAACTTAAACAATCTTATATATGACACTCTTTATTTTTCCCGTGCGAGCTAAAATTCCTCTCACCCCTGGTATAGACTGTAGAGAGTTGTTATCCAGCCACAGCTCCTTTAGGTTGTGTATCTGTTCCAACACCTCCGGCTAACATGCAAAAAGAAAAATCCACATACGGACACTATAAATTCATGTAGCATATATAAAACAAAGTTAAAAAAGGTGGAACTTTGTATAATGTATGAATAAAACGGAATGAAACAATCTTAAACCAATAACTGATTAACAATAAATCATAAAAATACATATCACATGCTTAAACAGATATTTTCACGTTGTAGGAAAAAATAAAACCTTGTCCCATAATTGATCTCGGCTGCTCTTAGAAAAGAGTAAAGACTGTGCCTACCTTGCCTGTTTCTTTTTAAGAAACGCTTATTTTTGTAGCATTCTGTGGCCTTAGCTTTACCACTTATATTGTGGAATAAAAGTAAAAATGAGAGTAACAGTTTTAAATTATTTTTCTCACACCATCGTATTCTCTTTGAGTCAAGGTTATACAGAAGTTATTTATTCCCAATCGAAACACAAAATGACATTGTGTACATATTCTGAGTTGACTGAAAACCAGTCCATGTGAATGTTCCACAACATGTTTCTTTCCTTCCTTTTTATTGGCAGGGATCAGAACGCTGAGCCAAACCTCACATTATGGCCAACTTCACGTTTGACCTCAATATCATGTCCCCTCAGTCTCCAAGCTGTCCTTTTCCCTCTTTTCATCCTGTCTTTACGTTTCATTTCAGATCCAGACTTGCCATCCACCTCATCTTTATATGGAAGGTTTATCGCACAGCACTTGAAACATTAACAATTGTGTCCCCTGAAATGTGACATCATAAGTACCATCATAGTGCCTTTTCTTTACCACTTACTCTACTCTCCCTTCACATCTTTTCTTTCCAATGTCAAATGCTTCAACTTCTAGATGGACATGCCACTGTAAGGTCCAAGAGAACATACAGATTATTTCAAGTCCAACATTATCATCCCTTATTAAAAAGAGACTGCATTGCTGGCCTCTGTTCTTTCTGTCTGCCCTAACAGGTGTTGCTTAGTACTGTATCACTTTGTGCCCTCAAAGAGCCTCCTTTAAAGCCAGTTAACAGTTTCTATGTCCACTCCTATGCAAGCCCCATATTTTCTTTCATCCTTACTAGTCATTAGGGCTTATCCAGTCCCCCTGCAGTCAAGGTGTAACTTATATTGTATATACTCTAAAAGCAAAAGGGAAAGAAAAAGAAAGATAGAAAGATATCATATGAAATACACACTGGTTCTGAGTGAAGAAAGCCTTTCAGCATCTTTACAGTGTGCTGTAGAATGATTAAGGGCCGTGCTTGGGCTTCTTCCAATCTGACCTTAAAGTTAGTATGAATGGAACTGCACAGGTATCTGCAGAGTGCGGACAGTTTCTCCTGTTCAAACATTTCTTCAGGTTATATGGAGCAGTACACTCACAGATATCGATTCAGATTTCTGAGTATGTCCTCAGCCGGCTGGGAGAAACAATGAGTTTGAACAACTATCATTACTGCACGGTGTAAGAAAGGTTTTTGTTTGATACTTATGCATCCCATAATATTTTCTGGTAGAGATCCTATTAGCCTCAAGTACATTCTGTGATATTAAAACAATTATAAAAAGAAAACAAAAACAAACAAAATAATCTAAAGGAATGTGGAAAACATCCAAACCTGCCACGTCAATTAAATGAAAATTTTCAAATAAATGAATAAAGTCACTAATTACAATCCGTATTGATGTCTCTCACCATGTCAGAGAATTCATTGCTACCCAGATCCAGCCTTTCCAGCTGTGTCAGTCTGTGGATGGACCTTAAAGGAGATATTTCACACAGAAGAGATTAATCTTCGGTAGTGTTTCAAATCAAAACTAAAGATGAAATTAAAACATGACATTGATGATCAATGCTTCTTTCTCTGCTCATGAGCATCTGTCTGTATGTGTGTTTGTAAACTGCAGAATCAATACTGAACTATATGTGTTTCTCTTACTCACATGCAACACAGTCACACATATGGTAGCTTGTCTTACTTTGGCATGGTTTTCAGGTGGTTCTCCCTCAGCTCCAAGATCCGTAGTTTGGAGAGTCTTAGAAACAGACGGCATATAAGCCAAAACTTAATTCCCTTAACTTGTGCTCTTTCAATTGCAACAGTGATCAGAGGAAATTTCAGAGAAGACCCAGTAACATGACATAAATAAGAATTACATTAACACATCTAATTATTCCACCACTGAAAACAGCGTTACACTAATTTCTTCATTTGAAAAGCCCCAATATTAATATTAACCTCTTTGTGAATAAGCAGTTTAGAAAATGAATGGATGGGCTCAAAACTGGCATAAGAAAAACTCAGTGTATTCAGATGCCTATCTGTTCAAAAGCATATCACAAATATAAACGCATTGTTTTACCTGCCAAAGTTAGCAGGCAGATACTCCAGGAAGGCATCGTTTAAGAAGAGCTGGGTCAGATTCAGGAGCTGCGTAAAACCATCTGGAAGTCTGAAAGAGATAGCAAAACAGACGTGTGATAGAAACAGAATGAAAAAAAACAAAAAACAGGGAAATGTGTAAAAGAAGACTGCGAAAGAACAGGTTCACTGGAATAAAGCTTGAACAATTTACCCCCCCCAATCTCTGCAGAAACAGCTTATTGCTATTGGCCTGCAGATGACTCATCTGCTGCACATACACAACACACATGCACAAAGAGCATGTTTGTCTGCAGGATTTTTTTGCTTCATGACCATTACTAGATGGGAAAACAGCCATTATTATCTTAAAACCTGATCTTTCAACAATTCAGGCACTTTACAGAAAGAGCTAAGGAATTACTTTCATGGCAGAACATAACAGGTTCAATTGATCCAATTAAAACAGTCCAAACACATTTTTCTTCCGTAATTGGAAAATGCAGTCTACAAATTAATCAATATGAAATTGAAATGAAAGTGTTTTAATCTATGAGCTCAGAAAATCCGTCACAGATCTCTCAGAAGATGTCGCTTGCTTCATGACAGAAGCAAAGAAAATGTATATTTCTTACTTGGTAATGGGGTTGACGGAGGCTTCTACCACAGACAGGCCTTTACAGCATTTTATATTATCTGGAAACTCTTGGATTCCTGTCAGAAAGAGGCAACAGAGGAAGCAGGATTGTGAAGTATATCTGTAAAAACGGTTTGGAACACATCAAATATTATCACGGTGTGGGTTGTAAACTATTGTCAGAAAGAAAAGTTCCCAAGTTTTTCATTGTCCTTTTCATTGAATTAGTCATCTCATTTCTATTTCCTATCTAATCTACAATTAGATAACTGTTTATTTATTTTTATTTTTTTACCATTTTTACTGATGTCTAACTCTTTGAGGTTAACCAGACTGGCGATGGTTGTCGGCAGGTTGGACAGGTCATTGTCAGGCATGCTCAGCTTCTTCAGAGCCTGGCAGTTGAAGAGTTGCTATTGGAAAACATATGGATGGCAAACGAATTTCATAATGTGTTAAAAAATATATATATTTTTAAAACCTAGTAGGCTGCAGAAAGGCTGGCACATTTTTTCTACATTCATGCAATATTCTGAAAATAAGATATCATCTTACTTGTTGCAAAAAACAAAACACATAATAAAGTCAAAGCAAAAACATTCAGGAAAATGTGCCGTAAATGGAACAAACTACTGTAAGATAAAGAGCTTGCGCAACAATGGAAGTGCACTGCTAATTCAGAGACAAATATTTATCAGGACAGTTTGGCGTGTCTGGCATATGTAGCAAATCCTATTCAACATTTTTATCATTAAAACCAGGATGTGATATCAGTATATGTGATGAGACTTTCTAAAACAGCACACGTAATTCTTCTTGACATATTAGATGAACATCTGGTTTCAGCACTGCTCCACATGGGGTCATTTAAAATTGCTGGGTGGCCAAGGTTGCTGCTAGGTGGCCTGGCAATCGGCTCTCTCCGTCATCATATTAGAACATAGATCTCAAGCTAATGTGTTGGATAGGAATACCTATACCCTTGAACCTTGTGTAAAGTCACTGTTGTCTCAGGTTAAACATCTCAGTTATTGAATGAATTAACTCAACAATTTGTGATGGTTCATTGCAAAATAATCCCTCATTACAAACAGCAGACTGATTTTGAAAGGATTCAACTGAGTTTTCTTCCCATTAACAATACAAGCGAGCCTTATATTACAGCAATAGCAATACAACAATAACTGCATGTGAGCAGGTTCTAAGGACCTGGGTATTCATATCACCAGTTTTTTTACTGATTGTAAGTAGTAGTCATTAAAAAATTGAAGCTAAAGGAGAAAGAGGGGGTGAGACTATGCACAAGAGCTACCTTAGGTAGTTCCTCAATCTGGTTAGCGTCTAGGTACAACTCTTCCAGAGTTCTCTCAAAGCTGAAGATTTCCTTGGGGACCTGCTGGAGGCTGCAGTGGGAGTAGTCCAACACTGAGATCACTTCCTCTTCACCACGGAAGCAACGGCACGGCACCAGCCGGCCAATCAGCTTCCGCTTGGTGGTCATTTCCAGACACTGCACTGTTAGAAAAAGAGGATAAGAAGCAGGACATGGTATTAGACTTGCTTTAATTGGAGCATCCTTCTTCTCTCGTCTTATGTAGTCTTTTTTCAATTTATTTATTTTTTAGGAGAACATTATTGATTGACAACAGCGTGTAAATGAACACGGGAGTTAACTGTGGAGCCAGACCCAAAAGATATAAGTATTTTCATGTAATTTTCTTTAGATTATGCAGCAGTTCATTTGTGACAAAAAGCATGTTGGCTGCAGTCATTATTGTGATCAGAATGTGATGTTTTGATGACTAGTGACATGGAAATATCAAAGGAACACTTTACCACATACTGAAAGAAAATTCTGATAATGCAGAAAAAATCGGGGAGCCTTAATCTTAGTCCAACCGTGTGAAAATGACAGCCCTCACACAACTCTGTATCCATCAGTGTTAAACTCAACCTAAGATTCGACATATCAGCTCATCAGAAGGGACATATCATCTCTGTTCCCTGCCATAAAGACTGACCCTGTCTCTCCAACATATTGAGTTGGGATTGGCTCCAGCCCTTCACAGCCATCTGTAGGATGAGCTATGACAGTTAATAAATGGATAGCTAGAATGTTGAAGCAGGTATTTTCCTGTAGAAAGTTGCATCGTCACAAAAAATATCTAACATGAAAAAACTCAATTTCTTGCAAAACTTTAAATTAAGCTTATTCTACAAAATTTTACCACAACAAGGTCACTAAGAATCCAGATACAAATATTTGAACTTTTTGCAGTGAGACGTCAAACTGGATAGATTATAAAACCATAAAAACCAACAGAAGGCTGAGGCTCAGCTCTTTTTGAACAACACAACCAGAGTCCTTTGTGATTTTATAAGACAATACTATTCCATAACTTAATTTCAAAAGCTACTGGTTGAATGGCATACGTGGACTAACCATACACATGTAAATTCTGGGGTATAGATTAATCTTGAAGTGTTATCATTCCATTCACAAATTGAATGTACACTCACTCTGCAGAAAGCTAAACACGTTTAATGGCTCTTTTCAAAGTGAATAAATTATTACTTAAACTGTGACTATTACTGACTATTATATGACTATTACTTAAACTTCTAGTTTGATCCTCAGCTGTGATGACAGGAGGAGAGGCTGTCAGAAGAGGTGCAGAGAGCACTGAAGAGGTGATTATGAAAATAAAAAGGTGAATAACAAAGACAAAGGGACATCAGGAAGTCTGTAGATAAGACCCTCATCTTTATCTGCCAACAAACATACACACACACCTTTTTCCAGCTCCATGTGAGACCAGATGCATTCAGATGATAGGCAGAGCAATCCAGAGCATTGTAAGTACAATGCTCTGTTATCTGCCAAGGGGTTGTTGCAAACCTTGTGAAATCTGATTTTTTTAGAAAGGCTGCAGATCCTTCGTTGCTGTTTATCTCGAAGGGCTGGACCATTAAAATCGATACATACACAGTCACATTCAGTGAAGGTATAATGAGACCAGCTGGGATTTATCCTTTGTCTACTGTATGTACAAACCGGGCTCTTTGCGATGTGCAGGGTACCTACATCTTACCTTTTGTACTATTAATGTTTAAGCGGTTAACATAGACTATATTTAGTGTGGAAGAATATCTTAGATTTTAACAACAATTGAATAATCCTAAAAATCCCAACCAAATTGTTTTCTTAATAAAGTTAAAGAAATACAAATATTGTAATAAACAGCAAAAACTGAAATTATTGAAAATATGATTAGCCCCTGGTGTTACTTTTAACTCTGAAAAGGGTTTAAGAAATTACATGTCTTGTATTTATGGTCTAATTAATCCTTCTGTCATTAGAACAGATCATTTGAAGCTACCACTGTACAGAGTTTTGGGAAATAAAAGGTTTAGCTCAAAAAGGCAAGGCGTAAATGCTCAGGGAGCACAATAAAAACTGATTCAAAACATACATAATCCATGGTAATTTCTGCCACAGACTTCTGTCCTATATTTATGAACATATACAATGGTGATATTCATGGTTGAAATCCCCCCACTTTTATATCTCTCTTCAGTTTGCATGTTGAGAACATAAAAATCCCAATCATTTGAATCTTTATGTATCCAGCAGCATATAATACAATACAACACATAAACCAGTAACACTAATCACAGAAGATGTGACTTTTTTTCCCCCTATATATTGTGATAAAATTGTACTGGATTTTACTATTTTTAAATCCTAGTATCTTCTTTTAATGCTCCCGACAGAAAGCAAATGCACATTCACTTGTGGGGAAATAGCTTTGAATAATCATAAACTGCATTTTAGGAACTCTCTCAGATGATCCTGAGTTGTCAAAATGAATGCCTCTTGTCTTGAATGACTGGTCAAAATTGATTGAGGAATATCACCGGGCAGCCGGTAAAACAGTCTGTTCTTATTCTCTACTTAAGATGCAGCTGCTGGAGTGTGATTTCAAAGTCTATTGATGTAACAGCGAAATATGCAAACACAGGGTAAACTAAAAATAACAGTCTCATGAGAGAAGTGAGAAAAGTGCATAAAGCTTGCTACATGCTGTTTCTGACAATTGGGGAAATATTCATATAGGTGGTAAGGGTTAGTGACAAGTAATCAAACCAAAAGACCAAATGCTAGATTGTTTATTTATTAGGGAAAATAATATATAAAAAATCCCCTTCATGAAATGCTTAATCAATGAAGTTGGAAAAGCAGACAGGTTTGTTTCCTAAAATAAACACATAATTCACAGCAAAAGAGAAGTATCAATAAGAGAGAAATAAACACAGCCAAGAACTGTATTCTAACATTAAAGTGAAAAATACGAGTGTTGTAATAGATATATTATACCTCTTTTGTCTTTAGCGGTCTGAGGGTTTAGTCCTGGATTAATTCATTTAGGGTGAAAACTGCTATGTGTCAGAGCTCCAAAAGATCAACTACTCTTCCAAAAAATGTAAAACTCCATGGAGAATCAGAATGAGCCGGAACCAATAGGGTAAAACTACTCACTGCTGCTATGGAAACCGAATGACAGAGCAGACAGACTCTGCAGAGGCAGCCCTGCATGTACAAACTCTCTTAAAACAAAGAATTTGCAAAAGGATCATGTCTGTATAGGAAATAAGAACATGACCTTGCCAACTCAGTGAACCTCTTCTTTCTGTCACAGAAAAAATATGCTAGTTATCTGATATAGGTGATGATAACGGTCATGCAATCATAGATTAACTATCATCAGTCCCAGAGATGTTTTAGGAATTGGAACAAGGTAAAGTGCACAGGATTTAGGAGCTAAGGACTGCTTCATCTATATTACCATAAATCTGATCCCATTCTTTAAACCCTGTTTTTTCCTCAACACATCCCTCAATGTTGCTTTCTAGATATTTTCTGTACATTTCTCTGTCTAACCCTTTTTACCCTGTTTACGCTCAAAGCATTAGACATTTTCTAATGCTCTCCACCTTTTTCAGCACCCCGTCCAAGTTTCTTCAGATTCTTGGGACCATATTCTTCAACTCTTCAGATTTCAACATTAAATCTGAAGATTATTGTTGGTGTTTGCAGCATTGGAAGGAGGTGTCACTGGCAGAAGCAAAGGATTAAATACGAGCAGCGACTGCAAGGAAGGCAGTCAACTGTTTTAGTCCAGAATGGAAAGTCAAATCTCCAGCCCTTTACTTTCAACCATTGTTGCTAGTCAACATAGTGTTGCTGGCGTGCTCTTGAAAAATACCTCTAATAGTTTTGTCTGTTCTGTCCCTTCTGCTCTTCATTCAAGCCTGTTCTTCTGTGGTTGTAAATGTGTGTTAACTGTCCTTCAGCAGCTTTAGAGGGTGAATTCCCCAGAGTGCCGTGACAGCAACCACTTCACGTGCAGCCTTGTTGTCCCCATAGTAACTGCTGCCATAGAAACCATCTCCCAAGAGCTGGGTGTATTTTTATTCATCCACTCTGTCATAAAACAGAACATTTACTCAGTGGGCAATCGCTCCACATTTAGTGACGCTTAATGTGGACTTAGATCTACCAGACACTTTCAAGGACCTGAATAAGCGCTTCACAGCACACTGCAGAGCTTTCTTAGACTTCAGCACTCATTCACAACTAAGCAGTCACACACTATCACACCTCAGCACATAAGTAAAAAAAAAAAAGAAAAAAAGAAGGACACATATTATTTTAGTTTAATATCAATAGTGACACTGACAATGAGAGAAAATTGAATATTCTGTTTCACATCCCATTGCTTCAAAGTGTCAAATAAATCCCTGTATGTGTGTCTGTGTGTGAAGCTGTATATGTGGGAGGCGGTTTGCTAACCAGCAGCCAGGAACAGCTTGTTCTGTCTCTTGAAATCCAGTAAATGAATACAGTTACCTGTACAAACACATGCATACAAGCACACAGATTGTTCTTTTTTTTCTGAGCCAGCAACTTACTGATTTACAAATGTTCTTTGCAAAATGCCAGGCGTTTACCAACGCCAGGCTAGAAAACGAAGGCTGCATCACACTGCTGTCAGGAGTCATTCTGCTTGATATAATGACATTTGTGTGAAACCCTTTCGACTTTAAAAACCAGTCGAATTATTGCGCTTGCTCTATAAGTTTGATTTTTCGTTACGTTCTTTTAAGAACCTTTAAACATTTTAACAAAAATGCACTTCACAATGACTGTGAATAATCCAGAAATGTGGGATGAAACCCACCAGGGAGGATATCTGTTGTTTTCTCATCATTCTTTTCTGCCCACTGTGCTGTTCAACCCGAAACAAAACATGTGACAAGTTGTGGGTTTATTTATCATTTCCTGTCACATAACCGAAGGCTCATATGCAAGCAGCACAAACAAAAGGGATGAAAATACCCAGGGCACCATTACCATGTTAACACACAAATCATCTGCTTTTTATAGATAAGATCAGGTTAAACTGAACCTAACGGGGACAAAACGTAATGCTACTACCTTTCAGATAAACCTG